AATGTTTTGCACGTTTTTTTTTCAGCAAACTTTTTATTCATTAGTGTCATTATTCTCAAACTAAAAAGTGTTATTTCTTTTGATATTCGTAAGATGATCTTCCAAGAGATAGGGACGGGCTAGATACTTGGGACTGGAATGTAGCTAGGGAGTCTTTGAGTTTTCTGAACGCTTCTTTGCACTCGGCGGCCCACTTGAAATATTTGGCCTTTCTCAGGGCTTTAAAGAATGTCGCGCATTTGTCGCTCAACTTGGAGATGACTCAGCTAAGACCTGTTATTCGACCGATTAGCTTTTCTACCTCCTTCATGTTTTGGGGAGAAGACATGTTCAGTAAAGCTTGCACCTTTTCTGGGTTGGCCTTCATAACGTTATGGAATATTTCTTTTTGGTTTCTTATGTGTTGTTCGGACGTTTTACTTTTTACCAACACATTATCTACATACACTTCAACATTTATTCCTTTCTGTTTAGCGAAAAGTACGTCCATCGGTCGCTAGTAAGTAACCCAAACGTTTTGAAGCTCAAAAGACATTACATTATAACAATACACTTCCTCGCAGGTGCTAAAAATCATTTTTTTCTACATTCGTGGGGTGCATCTTAATTTAATGATAGCCGGAGAAAGCGTCTAGCAAGCTCATCATAAAGTGCCCGACCACCGAATCCACCAACGCGTCGATCCTCAACAGTGGGTAATTATCGTTTGGGCAGGCGACATTCAGGTTGGTAAAGTCGACACATCCGTCATTTCCCATTAGACTTTTGCACCATCACCACATTGGACACTCACGTCGGGCATTGCACTTTGCAGATGTAGCCCGCTTCCAATAGTTTCTTTACTTTTTCTCGGATCGGCCCGATTAGAGTGGCGGCCGATGATCTCGACTTCTGCTTGACTGGCTAGACAGTAGGATTGATGTTCAATTGGTGGCATGAGACATCTAGGGAGACTCCCAACATTACGGTGTCGATGAGTATACTTTCACCTGCTACTCGTTAATCAAAGTTTTAATGACAATCACATCGTTGTAAGGTTTACCTGTCGCCGATAGGTTTTAGTTGGAACGTAATGTGTGGATGCATGGTCGTTCGTGGGGTGAGGGAGGCGGTGCAGTGTTCTCCCTATCAGTCCCTTTTCAGGCTTGATCATCAGGAGTACTCTCTGCTTCCTCCGGGTATTGCAGGTATTATACCTATGATCGGGATGGTGTTGGTTCGGATGGGCTCATCATTCGCCCCGTCGGCTGGGACCTTCCCTTGTCTGTGGGTGATTGCTTCAGCAACAACCAATTCTTTCAGCTTTCCGGCTTTGATTAAGTCTTTGACTAGGCTTCTAAGGTGTCTGCACTCTTTCGTGTTGTGGTCGTGGTCTCTGTGGTAGGCGGAGAATTTGTTCGGGTTTCAGGCTGAGCTTTCTGGCCTAATTGGCTAAGGTTTCTTGAAGTAATATTTATCTTGGATGGTTTTCACTAGTTCAACCATCGAAATTCTCTGGGGAGTTATTTTGAGTTGCTTTGATTGGGTCGGCCGTCGATCAGGGTATTGAGACCGCCTGTCTCAATAGTTGTCTTTCTGGCTTCCTTTGTTGTCATGGTGTCGGTTGTTTTCATAATGTGGGTAAGTAGGATGACGGGGACCGTCTTCACCCGCCAATCGTCATCCACCGATGCTCTCTTCTACGATTGGGCATCAACAATAGCCTTCCTGGCCTCCTCACAATGGTTAAGGACTAACTCCTCAGCAACATTATGATGATTGGCCATCAATTTTGGCTCGTACAGGCCTAGGGCATATTTGAAATGGTCGCTCTTTACTCCGAGCTAGGGCGGTTTGCGCGATCGGAGGTTCGAGATTTTGAATCTCTAGCATTTCCCGCTGAAATCTATTGATGTACAAGTGAAGGGTATCTCCTTCCGTCTGCTTGATCAGTAAGAGTGCCTAGACTTCTTCTGTGGCTTTTGTGCGCTGACAAAATGGGCTATGAATAGCCTCTTGAACTCGAAGGAGGGAATGACTCCAATAGGGAGAGAGTTAAACCATCGGAGGGCCGACTTCCTCAATGTGGTGAGGAACAAGCGACATTTGAACACATTGGTGATTTTCGAAAGTGGCTACATGCTCGATCGGGTCAATGAGGCCTTTTTACGAATATTGGTTGGGGGTTTTGAACTTCTCGGGTATTCAATCACAAAAATTTGCTATGAGAAGGTGCTTTCCTCGTGGCGGAAGGCTGTGGTTCGCTTGGTGTGATGTTTCTTTACCAGGGCTAATGCAACACTATCTTGGTAATGGGAGTCATCACCTTCGTCTATTATTGGATGGAACCTTTGATCGTTGGGTAACGACCTGTCTCGCCTGTGGTTGGTCACTGGTTCATCCTGGGAGTCGGACCCTTGGCAACTATATTCCTGTTGATTCTGGCTTTATGAGTTTTAGCCTTCTTTGGCCAGGGCTTCTTGAAAGCCACCCACCATATGTTCTCTCATATCTAGCATCAACTGCTCTTTCATCTCCATTATTTGTTGTCGTTCAATCTCTCTTGTACTGCCCACATATGCTTGGTTCCTTGTTCCTTGAGCTATTGCTTTGGCGCTGTGTCGTACTTTTCTTCTTGTTGGTGTCATGATTCCACGCTTGTCGCACCTTTTAGGATGTTAAACCCAAAAGTGTCCAAAAATCACACCCAATGAATAAAGCATGAGAAATGAAGGAGAAAAGATGAACAGTGAAAAATGAGTGTCCATAGAGCTTTCTCTCATGAAAGGGTCCCCTATTTGTAGGTATAAGAGGTGCCCTAGATATATAATTACCCTTAAGCCCTTTTCCTATAAAAAGAAATCTATCATTTGCACAATACATTTTGTTGTTCCAACTAGTGGATTATTGGTCTACAACTGCAATCTTCGCTCTTCGCTCATCGTTCCCATGTTTGTTCGTTTGGCCTTGACAGGTTGAAGCATGTGGAGGTAGTTCGAAAATCTCTATGTTGAACTTGTTCATAACCACCTCTGAGGCCTCTTACTCGCCTGTCTCATTTGCTTGACTATTGGTGTTGTGTATATGGAGTCAAAGCACCCCAAGATCCCGATGCCTAAGCGCCGGGTTTGGGCGCTGACAGAGAAGGGGGCGCCTTTGCGCCCCTTTGGGCGCTCAAGTGACCATATTTTTGGCGCAGACAAAGGAGTCGACGCTTAAGTGTTGGCCTTTGGTGCTCAAGCGCCCAGTTTGCCGCCGGGTTTGGGCGCTGACAGAGAAGGGGGCGCCTTTGCGCCCCTTTGGGCGCTCAAGTGACCATATTTTTGGCGCAGACAAAGGAGTCGACGCTTAAGTGTTGGCCTTTGGTGCTCAAGCGCCCAGTTTGCTAGGTGCGACGCCTAAGCGCCCGGTTTAGTCACCCTGCTTTCTGGGTTTTTAAACCAATTTTGAACGATGTAATGATGGGTTGGGTGTGCGTCTTCCTTTTGGTGTTCTTAAACAAATTCTTGAGCAAGGATAGAAGAGTTGGAGAGTAGGATTTCTAGGTTCTCGGCATGTATTTTTCGCGTTAGATCGGAGAAGGAAGGTTGTGGAGCATCCTGTAAGTTTTTTCTTGTGGGTGTGGAGAAGAATCTTGTGTGAGTTTTTTTATAAAACTATCCGATTTTTATAGTGAATTTGTGATGGTGTAGCTCCGTGTTTTTTTCTGGTTCTCGGGCCTTTCCACGTAAATTCTCGTCTGTTTTTTTATTTTTTTGATTTTGCTTATGTGCTTAAATTTATTGTTTCGGTTTTCTTGAATTCTATCATCTTATTCCGCGATGAAATTAGAATGAGATTCTTTTGCAGTAGTTTCTCCCAACAATTGGTTGTCCTCTGCTTGACTCGTTCAGCGGATGTTGTTCATTCGGTCCTGTTTGTCTGCAAGCTATCTATGTGAATGACTTGGAAATCCCTAGGTGAAATGGATTGTTTTATTAACTGCTCTTTGAATATTTTAACCAAGGGGCCCACTCCAATTGTTGCGTGCTCTTGTTCTGCCTTGGGATTCATGCCGACACGATCCTGTTACAATCTCATAAATTTGCTTTAAATGAGTAGTTGTTAATTTACTAGGTAGTTTGTGTTACTCTTTACACGAACAAGGCATATATATTGACACAACAATTTCAAAATAGCATAGAATTCGTGGGTTCTTTTTATCCAGTTTCTGATATTTATGAGACAATAGATATTCATTCTAATGATGACATTAGTGATAGTAGTGACTTCATAGAAATAAACTGCACATTAAACATGGATAATCAAACCATATCAATTGATGCAACAATAAGCATTTTGATAATCCCACCATGGCACATCACTTAATATCTATAAATATTTGAATTGACGGTCCTTTCGGACCATAGGCTTTATTTGTGGAAGGTTATATTTTAGGTGAGCTAGTCAAAGATAAATTCTTTCCAAGTTAAATTACAATGATGGTTCATTATAATAAGAGCAAGTACACACTAACTTGTCAACAACACGATTATCTCTTAAAACCTTGCAGTGGCAGCTTTATCCATCAATCTGGAAGCATCTTTGTAGGGCATCGAGGCTCTCTAGCATAGCTTCATCGCATAAATGCACTCATCACATATTGTTAGGGAGGCATAGATAGTATGCGTATTTTGTTAATATGTTATTTCATACTGTTTAGCATTGCGAACAATATAATCTAAAACTAGAGGAGATTAATGGAGAAGATTTCTTATGGGCCATGTAGCAGCTGCTATTAATGGAGAAGATTTCTTATGTATAGGCATGCAAAGTGAATATTAAAGAAAACAAGGAGGAGAATATCTATAGCTATGAGGATATTGATAATAAATAATAGCATATAAAATGCTAGCCAATACTTTCTTATATTTTTTATTCCAATCTCATACTTTCCAACAATACTTGTAACTTAGCCTCTTCTTGTTTAGTATTTGTCTATCCTTACTTTCGTTTTTATTTTTGTTGAATTTACTTTTCAGGCTGATGAGACGCAACGCCGCTAGATTTTTAGTGGATGATCTGTACAGAAACCCTGGACCACTTCAATTCGAGGGAGATGGTGGTGATTCCAAGACATTTACATTATCTGTGGAAGATCTGGATTACATGGGACGGATTAAGTTACTACAGGAATATCTGGATAAGGTTGGCATAAGTTTTTTTTTCATGTTTTATGATTATTTTCTGTTATGCTTTTCTTTTTCTCGATATTGTAGTTTTGATTCATGGATTCCAGTGATATGCATCCATTTAGATATCAAGAGCAAAAGTATCATGGCTATGCTATTTCTTAAAACATGCTCCTTCATTGATTTTTTGTTGGATTGAGCTTCCTTTTGGGCAATCCACCTCAAAATTTTGAAATATTTTGCTCGCTATTTTTGGACCTTAATCTTTTTGTTCCATGCTTTTCTTTCGCTGATCTTTGTGTTTCTTCTGGTTTTCATATTGCTATTGTATTCTTTCACTTGAGTTATTAGCTCGTCAACTTGGCCCGACTGTCTTATGACTGATAAAATATTTTATGGATATCAATGAGTAACTTAGAATTTATAAATGAAATGTATAACTAAAATTACCTCAGCACAAATAACATGCCCGAACAAATAACATGCCCGAACGCCCAACATTTTTTGTGAACTAGGTACAGCTCTCAGCATTGTTATTTTGTGCGCACGATGTCTCATGCTAGCTCTCTGCCATAGCTCTTTCTTGTTATTCTTTGGATTGCAACACTTGGAATCAACTCAAGCTTGCGGTTGCCTGTTTCTGCTCCTAAAATGGGTCATCCTCCTCACTCACAATTGAGCCTTCTTGATGTCGAGCTGCTCTATGATGCAACACGCTTCGGTCATAATGAGGGAAAGTGTCCACACTCGTCTGCTTGTTCTTCGCCTACCCTTGATTATTCCTCTTCCTTCGGCTTCAATCGCAAGCATCATCGCCCTCATCGGGGCCCTAGCGCCTCATCTCCTTTGTTTGACAATCAAAGGCATTGTCGCCAATCAACATCGTCAACTTCGGCTTTTATCTATGCAATGGGAAGCCCAAGCTTATGCTCGTTGATCTTCCTGTTTTCGTACGCGTTGATCAACTCCTCAGGTAAGTCGTTCACTCGGAGTCGGCATCTGCTACGAAGCTTCTCGATCTCGTCTTTGCCTCTCGTTACTCCCCTCTTCCTGTTGAACACACTTTTTTTAACCCATCTTCCATCAATTATCCTATAAGAACCAGCATCCGCAGGCATACTTAACACGACGATCCTCTCATTCATTTTCTTGTTCTCTTATTGAACTATTGATGCATAAATGAAACATAGATTCCATTTCTGTTTTACCAAATGAAATAAATTATACCTCAATCATCAATTCATCGTAAATTCTAATGATTACACATGCTCTATTTATACAGGTGAAAGACATGGTGAAGCCTGGATGTTCCCAGGAAGTTTTGAAGGCAGCTCTAAGTGCCATGGCTTCTGTAACTGATGTCCTTTCTGTGATGTCATATTCGAATTCTCAGGGGCTCCAGTGACTCGCCTCGGCTAATAACCCACCTCCCTCCCACCTGTAAAATTGTTTCAAGCGCCTGTTTCGTAATTTTCAAAGACCTAGTTTCAGTTTTGGTTTGCTCTTTTATTTTCTTTTTTATTTATCAGAAATTTGTGCAGCGGATTTTAAACAATAAGTATTTGATTGTCCATTCGAGTGCTCTTATGTAAATAATGAGATGACAACTTTGCCTTTATGGTCTATTTGTTCTGTGCAAAAGATGATCTATTGATTGTGCTGTTTTGGAATTTGTTGAAGAGCCATTACTGTAATGATGATTTTTTATGAAATTTTCAAAATTTAGTAAATTTAGTAGATTGTTATGAAGACGTTTTTTATCAATTGGTTCATCAAAAACTAATAAAATGAGAATAATTAATATTTGTAGTTAGCTTTCACAATACAAATGTATGAAGTTTATGGGGTTTATGTCGAAGTCAATGCCACACTTCTTATATTAGTTACATTATCACTCTTTATGAGTTTTTTGATGATCTATTGATCGCTGCACGTCAACTGCTTGGTACCACGTCACCATACATGTCTGTGCAGGGCGATGTGGCACCCGGTGGTTGGCCGTGTGGACGTCGGAGCGTAATATTTTTTCCCCCATTAAAGAGGTTCAATTATGAAGTTTTGAAAATATAGTGTATTTTAACCTTTTTTTTTTTTAAGTAAATGAAAAACTACATTCCAGAAGAATAAATAAGCACAAATTTTTTGTATTTCCTTGTGTTAGATCTATCTTATCATATTTATCTTAATTTAAAAAATTAGATATGAAAATAAATAGATAGTGATATTTTTATGTGATTATATATATATGAATGAAAATTTATATTTAATTTTATGAAATAGTGATATTGTCTATGTGATAAAAAAGTAAAGCTTGGGTGTCCCACATGTAAATATATAAGACCTGGGTAGTATCCATATAAATGCCTCAAGTAAAAATTTAAATATGAGTTTAGAGCCAAATTTAAAATATTCAAATGAAATGTTGTATATCATACTCGTGAAATATAAACTTTTTAATAAAGTTTTTGAAAATACGATCGACCTTAATGATCTTAATATCATTATTAATAATAATAAAATATTTCATTTTTACCGTCACATTCGTAAAAAAAAAGTTAAGAAGGCTTTAAAGAAAATTAAGGGTGGAAAGTATGTAGGACATGATGATATCCTAATTGAAGTGTGGAAATATTTAGAAGATTTGGGAGTTTCTTGGCTTACTAAAGGCTTTAATACTATTTTAAAAACTAAAAAGATGTGTGAGGAGTGGAGGAAAAGTATTTTGGTCACCATTTTCAAGAATGAAGGGGATGCACAAGAGTGTGCAAATTATAGAGGAATTAAGATGATGTGCATACTTTAAAACTATGGGAGAGAGTTATTGAACATAGGTTAAGACGTATCACAAAGATTTCTCATAATCAATTTGGATTTATGTCGGACATGTCTATTATGGAAGCTATGCATTGGAGAAGTTCAAAGATAATAAGGAGGATCTACATTTGACTTTTATTGATTTAGACAAAGCTTACAATAACATTCCAAGAGATATCCTTTGGAGAGTTCTTGAGAAGAAATGTGCTGATATGACTTATATTCAAGTCATTAAAGATATGTATACTAGAGTTGTTACTTGTGTTCGAACTGAAGGAGGATTGACCAAATATTTTTCTATTTCTTTTGGATTACACCAGGGATCGGTTTTAAGTCGTATCTTTTTTGCTTAGTTATAGATGGTCTTATTAGACATTTACATGAGACTTTACCTTGGTGTATGCTTTTTGCTGATGATATCCTTCTCGTGGACAATATGAGAGAAAAAACCCAGAAAAAACTTGAATTATGGAGGTCTACGTTGGAGTCTAAAAGCCTTCGTTGGAGGAATTATGGAGGTCTACGTTGGAGTCTAAAAGCCTTCATTTGAGTAGAATTAAAACTGTATACATGGAATGTAAGTTTAGTAGTAGTTCTAGTGACAGAAGTGTAACATTAGGTGATCAAATTATTAAAAGGTGCAAACGATTTAGATATCTAGGGTGTGTTGTTCAAAGCGATTGTGATATAGATGAGGATGTTAATAGTAGAATTCAAGTTGGTTGGTTGAAAGGGAGGAATGTTTTTGGCTTTTTGTGTGATAGAGAAGTGCTGCTTAGACTGAAAGGAAAATTTATAAGATTGTGGTGAGACCTGCAATGCTTTATGACGCTGAATGTTGGTCTTTAAAAAAGAAGCATGATATACTAAGTGTTGCCGAGATGAGAATGATTAGGCGGATGTGTGGATTTACACTTAAAATGCAAAATGAATATATTTGTGATAGGGTTAGTGTAGCTCCAGTGACCAAAAAAATTAGAGAAAGTCATCTTAGATGGTTTGGTCAAAATAAACGTCGACCCTTTGATGATCTGATTAGAAGAGTAGATGTTTTAGATTCAACTTATGTTAAGAAAGGCAGAGATAGACTAGAAAGGTTTGGGCTTATTGTATAAAAAATCATCTTAATTTATTAGAACTAAATGAAAATATGACACTAAATAGGACACAATGGAGAAAAAAAGATTCAAGTAGCCGACCTCACGTAATAGGATTAATGATTTGTTGTTGTTATTGTATAATTATTTTATTTAAAATAAAATATTTTTTTATATTTTAACTATTATTATGTCTTTCAGCTTCATTGTATCCAACCTCTTCGTTTTAGGGTCCGTTTAGGGCAGTTTATAAGTGCGGGCGGTATTTTTAAAACGCCGCTGTACTATTTCGTTCACACGTTTCACCAGCTTATTCGAAACTGCGTTTGAGTTTATTCACTAAGCACAAGCCGCCGGTCGGCGTTTGAGTTTTTACACTAAGCACAAGCCGCCGGTCGACCTTCACGGCCGGCCAACAGTTATCCTGAAACGCATAAACTAACCCGAACGCACGCTTACTCACCTGAACGGCTAAACCCTCCTGCAACTTCTTAAACCCTAAAACAACCTGGCTTGTGGGGGCTAAAGAAAGCCTTACCTTCAAATCGACTGCCCCGAAACCCTACCGACTCCGTGCTGTGGAAAATGGCTTCCCCCATTGCTCGTCCATTCCTTCGCGGAGCCGCTTACCGCCAGCTCTCCTTTGTTTTTAGTGCTCGGCATCGCCATACTCTCTGCTATTCTTATCTGACCGCCTCTTCTTCTCTCGTCCAAAGTGCACTGATTCAGAAACTCCAGAAAACTTCTTCATCTCTATTCCTTCGATTCGCCTCTTCTAAGGTGGGAGGAGTGGATGAAAGCCTCCTGAAAGTTCTCCAGTCAGAGATCTCTTGCATCCAGGAAATTAAAGAGCCCCGGGTATGCTCACATAAACTCCATTTTTTCTTTGGTTGCGCGCATCCTCTGTATTATATTAGGGCTTGCTCGGGGTCATTTGTATATGGCTGTTTGTGGAAACAACAGTAAAATTATATCTATGTTTGTTTAACATTTTTGAAAAACAAATCTTTCCAAGTAATGTGAGAATCTAAGAAAAAAAAAAACAAGGATAAAGTAAATAAAAAAGTACAAAACATAAGTGATCTTAAACGACTCCTTGGTTTTGTACAAGTATATATCACAACCATGGTAGAAAGCTCAGATAAATGATAATAAAATGCTAGGTTTCTTTCGTAAGCTTACAGAGAATTTTAATTTGGTGCTTCCTAAATGTTTTAATTGGGTTATAGTTGGTTGAACTCTCTGCCAATCAAGAATACATTGCTAACTAAGAAGAATTGAAGAATCTTCAGCATAATCTTGTGGGTTTGATTTAAATCTTGTTAGATCTTAAGCTGTTGTTTAGATATAAGTAGTATTTAACTTGAATATGATTGAGTGAATGATATAAATTTGAAATTTGTAATTTTTGAGAGGATTAAAACCTAAATTTTTGTTTTATATGTCAACTGTTAAATATTGCTAAATTTAGATATAATATTTGGATATTTGTTTTAGGATTTAAGATTTTTGAATGAGAAATCTTAAAGTTTGTTGAATATTATAAATGGGCGATTTGACAAATTCTGTAGTAAACCAATAATGGTGCTTAAGTGAGCTTTATCAACATAATAGATTTTAAAATTTTGTTTGAAATGGGATACAAAACACCAATTAAGTGTCTCGTCAGGGTCTTGTGTATATCCCATTGAAGTTAATGTAGGTGCACGCCAGAGAAGATGCCAGCATGAGCAAGCTTGTGTAAGTACCAACTAGGTCTTGAAAGCACTAATAATTTCTCACAGGCTATGGTATCAAAGTTGAATTTTGAAGATGATCTTTATTAAAGTTATGAAGGGTAATTATTAAAAAGATTTTTAGAATTAATTAATTGTTAATATTCTGTAATGGTTTGATTCACCAAAGAATTTCAGGCACTTCTTTGTTAAAAGAAAACAATTTTTTTTTATTTATATGTATCTTAAATTATGGGTAGTTTTTAACATTTTGTTTGCCAAAATAATTTCTTATGAACCTGAGAGTAGTAATTGTCGCAACCAAAGTAGTACCACAACAATACTAAAGGTGGAGATAATAATAGAACCTGAAGTCCATGGGAGCTTGAGGGTGGTTCTTGCGACAAGAACGATGGTGTAATAACAACATGCTTGAAGGGGTCAACTATGGAGACTAAGGGATGGAATTGAAACTTATCTGAAATGGGAATAATGGCAAAATTGAAGATTTTGTGTGGCTAGAAACTATGGATTGTGGCTATTTCAAGCAGCATCAATAGACTTGAGTCAATGTGGATAACAATTTCTTTTAAGGATGGCAGAACATATAATTAGGGCTATAAACGAGCTGAGCTTGAGTGAGCTTAGGCTTGGCTCGGGTTTGGCTCGTGTTCGAAATTGATTGTGAACAATTTTTTCATGTTCGGCTCTAAATTGTCTTGTTAAAATTAATTCTAAAAAATTGATGTAAGGTGTGGGATTTGAACCTACACCAATTTTGTGCAATGGAAGGCGTGTAACCACACGACCACATGAGTTGTCATTATTTAAACTTAGGTATAAATATATATAATTTTTTATTATATAAATAATTTGTATAATGTATTGTTATATTAATAATATATATAGTTTCCTTATTTCGAGCTAAAACGAGTTGGACATGATCGGACAACGGGTTATTCTTGTTTGGTTTTCTTATAGTATGATTCAAACACGAGCTACTTAACGAGTCAAACATGAGTTATCTGTGAAGAACAACTTTTTTTAACAGCCCTATATATAATGATTTCTATAAGTGGAAATGATCCAAACACAAGAACATTGTCACCGACATCTCTAGGGGAGTAGTAAGTTATAGTTCTTTAGCTATAAGGCCTCTAGTTGATAGCAATGAATGGTAACACATTAACCTAGTGACGCCAATGGTTGGTTTAGAACTTCATCGAAAGCTTTAAAGTTGTTGAGAACTTGCTAAAATTAATTGAATTTGGGGTGTATTTTATATACATGTAAAAATTTAGTTTAAGCATGTTTACATGTTGTGTGCCAAATTAATTTCTTTTGAACCTATGGGTAGTAATTGTGGCAACCTAAGTAGTGACAACAACAATACTAAAGGTGGATGTAATAATAAAACTTAAAGGCCATGGGAGCTTAAGGGTGGTTGTTGCAACATGCACGATGTTGTCAATAACAACATGCTTGAAGGGGTCAAGTATGGAGACAACAAAACTAAGGAATGGAATTGACCTTATCTGAAAGGGTAATAATGGTAAAATTTCAGGTTTTGTGTGCATCAATGCTAAATGTGGATAGAAACTATGAATTGCGGTTCCTTTAAGTAGCATCAATATGAACAACAATATGTCAAGACTCCTAGATTCAACATTTGGTGTATGTGGGTGGCGGATAATGATAGTAGTCAATATGGATAACAATGTCTTTCAAGGATGGTATCACATGGAATGCTATCTGAGTGGTAATGATACGAACACAAGTACATTGTCACCTTCACCTCTAGTTCATAATAACGAGCAATAGAACATTAGCAATAGCGCTTCTTGTTGACAGCAGCGAATGGTAACACATCAACCTGGTGACAGCAATGGTAGGTTTAGAACCTTATCAAGAGCTTTAAAGTTGGTGAGAACTTGTTAAAAATGAATTTAAATAGGGATCTATTTATATAGTTGTAAAGAGTTAGTTTAAACATGTTTGTATTAAATTTCATGATCATCCAAAATAGATGGTGTATATTGCTGCCATTTCATTATAATGATAGTATGCATAAATGGCTTGGTTGGATTCATACCACAAGTCACGATCCAAATGATTATTGTCAAAGCTGTCTTTGATCAGTGATTCAAAAATATTAGCCTCTCAGCTTGTCATACCACCTGTCAGGATCCAAATGATTACTGTCAAAGTTGTCTTTGATTAGTGATTCAAAAATTCTAGGTTGTTGACTTTGACGTCATGGTTAGGATGGTGGTGATGATCATAGTTTTATGAAGTGAATTGAGGGGAAAAATTTATAGTTTACAGCAGCCTCCAAATTTACTGAAAATTGTCTTCATATAGTGTTAAGGGAGCTAGTCTTTTTTTTTCCCTTCATTTTCTTCTTTCTTTTCTATTTTTTCCGCTTCTACTTGAAATTGCTGGAAACCATGCACATACTATCTTTCACTCTCATCCTCATACCTCTTGTTTCTCTTAAGAAGAATACGGAGGAAACCGTTTCATAAAGGAAAGGAAGACCTTGTGTTCTCACTACGGCGAGCCTTAAAGTACAGTTCACTATGTTACAAATTATCATGTTACCGGTGAGATCTGCTCTCTTTGAATGGAGACCTTGGGGGCTTGATTCAAGCCAAACAAATCCCCTCATTACAGATTGGTTTTTTTTCATGTTGGCTATATCGAAAAGCTAAATCCTAAACTATCCAACAAATTTTCTCAAGAATTAAGAACCAAATTTACATTTTGTGGGCTCCAAAAATTCGAACACCTCGAGCTCCCTCGAAAAAAAAAAAGAAAAATGAGAATGAGGGAGTTTGCCACGAGGTTTTCGTATCAAAAGACAGATGAAATAGTATCTAAGACACTACCTAGAGTTTTTGCCCACATTTTGCTAGGACTTAAGATCTGGGGTTCGTGTTTTTCTGTAGGTGCAAGCTACTATAGCTAACTACCCCTCCTGATAATGTGAACACTTTCGATTAAGGCTATTCATTAGATGTTAAATGTTCAGACTTAGCATATAGTAGCAGCAACAAATTTGAAATTTAAAAGTTATGAAATTATCACTCTTAGCTTAGAGAGGATGGTGGGGGAAATGACAACAATCTCAATCAGGATCCCATGCTTTTGTCATCTAGGATTGTTGTGGTCTCTAGTCTACCTAGTCAAATGAGATAGTTGACCTAATCTAATAGAAGGGTCCTTATCGACAATCATGAGTTGTTTCTTCCATGAGAATCTGATAGACATGGGGTGATTATTTATCTAAGGGGATTATTCTAAGTCGACCTTTGTTTACAAAGGATTTTTTCCGCTATCAAATATTTCTTATGATTCATAAGTCAAAAGAGCAGAATGCCATTGGAGAACATACAAGTTAGAATCATTTTGTTTTATAATGGAGCATACCAACCAAACTATTTGATGGAGCCTAGTTGTCAAGTCACCCAATCAGAGGTTTTGGTTGTAATCGCTTCTTTTATAGAGCTTATTATTCAAACCTCTCCAACAAAGGGCTCATGCCACATGTTTACTAACATGAATTATTTTGAGTATAAATTTTGTAGTATACTTAATATTGCATTTGCTCTTTGTGAGCTCGAGTCAATCTTAAAATTGTCTCTCTCAACAAACAACTACGGATTATGGATGACTTTTGCTTTAAAATTTTTAGTGACATTTTTTATTTGATGATTTTATAGATTACATGATTTACAATTTTATTTTTTATAATTAGATATTGCGAGTCAACATCATTAAACATCAATCATGTTAACTTCAGTACTAATGAGGATGATTGGATTTGTTCGATGAAAGAGATCTAGTCTTGTCAACTTCAAATTCTCTGAGGAGGATCAGGTTAGCCGAAAGTGAGACCTACGACCTTGCTCTATAGGCAAGGCAGTCCACTCAAAGGTGTGTGCAATTTAACGCATTGAATGTGATTTGAAAATGTAAATTCTGTGAAGTGTAAATAATTGTCTATTTTTAACATAATCACACATCATTTTAGGCCATATTTGATTTGAGTTTAATCATATGTTTAACCTTCGCAATATTCTCAGACATCTATGATGAGCGGCGAAGCACGTATGGTCATTTTAAATTTATTTATTTGAAGAGACTTTTGGGAGATTTTGCATGCTTTTCAAGGCAAATTATAATTTAGCTTAAGCATACCTTTAACTCGTGCAACATTTTGACTTTTGAGTTTAATAGATTAATAATAGTGGCAGAGCACATGCAAGATATTGATTTACAACATGCACGCATCTTGATGCATTTGAAGGAGATTTGTGATGCACACACATTCTTAGTTATATTTACGTTTGCTAATTACTCTTGAAATCAATTAAAATTTTGAATATTTGCATGAATATGTTTATTATCAAAATTTGTGCAGCATTTTATTTTAAGTTCAAGAAATTCACCTTCTGTTTGTTTATGTATTGGGTTGTAGAATTGGTGGCGAATTAAGAAGTATGAATTTTGCAAATATTTTAGGATATTACAATTTAATTTTTATATAGTTGTATGATGGGGCTAACAAAATATGAAGTTAATGCTCTATATATGTTTTTCCACTTCAATTCATTTTATCTTTGCTTTGATCTGGTTACATAGAAATTTTTGAAACTTATTAGGAGATATTATTCATACTAAAATACAAGCTATCAAGTCTTATTGTGCCCCGTAAAAGAGGCATCAAATCACTCTTATAACCCAATTTATTAAAGACCTCTCTATTATTCAATTATGTGCTCGATTTATGTCATATTCAATATATGTGCCAAATTGCTATCAAGTCTTATTGTGCACTGTAAAAGAGTGACTATGTGCTAAATTTTGTCTTGTTATTTTTTTGTATTTAACAGGTTTTTTCTTGTTCTTTTTTTTGTGGGTTATTTCAATCCAAAACTTAACAGTATTTCAGCAGCCTCTCGGCATCATCCTTACGTAAGGGCCTACTTCAAAAAGTTGAGATGTTGACCCTGCGAAAGAAGACACGCATGATCAATGTTGTGAGACGAAATAATCAGAATTTTCAATACCTACCATTTTAAGAAAGGCATACATGGGGTATCGATACAAACCGAAATGTTGCTAAGCACTGATGATACAATAAGTTTACATGTCGTCCAAGTAATATACAAAACTGAGTCCGTGTGTCGTTCTCAGGAGGAACAAACAAACTCTAGAATTCTTAAGAAGTTCTATTTACTAGTTTTGAATCTGACCTGTGATTTTGAAAAGTCACTAATCCTAATTTTCATAATAGTAACACCTAGGGTGGCGAGGTAAGAATTCAACAAAGCTTTCTAATACTTGAAAAGTTATCCTATGAAATTGTTCTGCTGGAATCTAAGTTTGATTAGGTGATTCAAAATTGTGGGTGACAATCAGGAACAGTGGATAGGAATCGAAATGCTGCGAAACACCAGTGATATATGCAAGTAAACTTGTTATTCAAAGTATATGAAACTGAGTCTATAAGTTGATCCTATGAGGAATGAGAGGACTCCTTAATTTTGAATCTAGCCTAAAGGTACAAAGTTATGTGATTCTTGAAAGTCACTAATAGTAATTTTCTAAATAGTAAAATCTATGCTAACTATGTGAGAACTTAGCAAGGTTTTTTAATACTTCAAAAATTTTCCTCTGAATTGGTGCAAGAATCTAAGTTCTATTTGGCGATTCAAAATTGTGGGTGACAATTCAGAGCAATTCTCCTCCTTATCCCTTTCCAGATGCCCAAGAAAGTTTGGTGATCAAACATGTTTAGTTCTCTAAATCAAATGATTAGCACATGATTCTTTATTTCGTTGTAGGAGTGCATTAACCTATAATCAATATTCATATTCTCCCAAGTTAGAGTATTTTAACTTAGTTGTTCTACCAAGATTTATTTCGAAACTCAAAGATCACAACAAAATTTAACTATTCAACTGGCCAGGTTGAATGTAAACTAAGATTTTAAAGTTAAAACTTATAAAAAGTTTAGAAAAATCACGCAAGAAAAATCAAACTTTTAACTCATACATTACCAATTCACGAAAATGATTCTATTCACTCATCATACTTGAAAACAACATCATAAACACTTCATTGATAGGAAATTTTAAAAATAAGAATTTGAAATATGGAACTTGATGGAATTCACCAAGAAGATTGCAAACGTGTTTATTTTCTTTCTCCAAATGATATGCTAAGTTTACAATCATAATTACACACTCATAAAACCTTACAACCACTCCACACTTCACTCTCTCGCACTTTGCTGTCGTGTCTTTGAGTTCTCCTTCAGTTTTGATGTGCATGGAATGGCCTCCAAGCCTTCGACAGAGGCTTTTTATTACTTAATTCGCGGATAGACGCCTGTGAACTGCTCAAACCACCAAAACATGTGAACTGACGCTTGGGTCTTGGTGCAAGGATTTTGAGCGCCTAGGCGCCCGTATGTAGCACCTAGGTGCTTAGGTCGTGGCGGCTAGGCGTCACCAATCCAACGCGGGCGTCACCAATCCAACGCCTATTTTTCGGCTTCTCTAGCATATTGGTTCAAATTTGCTCCTTGCGTACATAGGCACTCCATTCCGGCGCCTGGGCGCTATTTCTCTAGTGCTCAATTCTTCACTTCTTGAGCTTTGATGAATCTTCTTAGCTAAATCCTGCAAAATACATCACCAACACATTACAAAAACGTAAAATCAACATAAAATCAAGTTAAAATAATACATATAGGATCACATTTCCAATATACATCAAATTTCTCCAAACATAAACATTGTTTACCCTCAAGGAATTTCAAAATTCAAAATTAGAATGTTTCAAAGTGTGGTTGTGGCTAGTGATTAAAGATTCATTGCTTCCTAATAATACATGAGATATATAATAATAAAAGTGGATTTGTTTTTCTTTGAGATTGAATTTTCATTGTACCCCATAATATCCTGATTAATTAAATAGTAATTATGTGAGAGAGGAGAAAAGGGCGCTTTGTGAAAAAATGGAGAGAGAGAATTTCCCACATTTTTTGTCCATGCTCTCATGAGAATGGGCTTGTTTTTTTTTTCGGATTTGGTTGTTTACTCCTTTTCTTTTTCTTTTGGTGAGAGAAAATTTCCTCCAATTTCATTTTTTTGCTTAACAAAATAAAACAGAAAGGAGTTTTACTTATCCAAATATTTTAACACCCCAACTATTATCCAATTAATATGTGATTATGAAGGAAGAATTTAAATTTGAATATATATATTATTATATATAAATATATATTAACTAATATATATTTATATACAAATATAAATAAAATTTATATAAAATTCAAATGAAAGTGAATATTTGCTTTCTCGATGCACACCAAATAGAATCTAATTCAGATGAGAATAGGCTTGTTCGAACCATCTTAACGATCCGTACATGCTTGTATAGTTCATTTTATGATCAAGAGTCATTTAGATAACTTTGGCAATGATCGAGGTGACTTGGGTCCGAATTGCGTACATCACATTGACAACCTAATTTTGTCATCATGTTTCGTCATTTTAATTATGGAAGATTCTTTCTTGCATAATTTCGGCACTGTGGGTGCATTTGATTTATGATTAGGCATCATTTGGGCGGCTTCAACAATAATTTAGGTGACTCAACTCCGAGCAGCTCGTTGCCGCGCCCTATATTGACCCTTTTTTGTTGAGTGAAGTAGATATGAAGGTCTAACACTTTTTTATATTTTGTATTCCTTCTTTTTAAATGCCTTATAATGTTTTGATTTTCCACCTTTTTTCTTCCCTCAATGGAATAGTAACAAAAAGGCTAAACACTGTCAAATCCATTTCTTTTTTTATCACCTCATAAATTTTCTCGAGTATAAAAACAGTTTGTCCTTGCACACTGTTGACACACATTGTATTTGCAGGAGCTTGAGGTACCTGAAGGGTTTCCTTTTGAAATCATTGATAATTCTGGCGACAACACCATTACTCTTAAGAGAGAATTTGCTGGCGAGAGCATTCAGGTCATTGTTTACATGAATCCGGATGAAGAAGAGGATGAAGAGGAGGAAGATGAAGATGAGGATACTGATCATGAGAACGAATTCAAGCCAAGCATTTCTTTGCTTGTAGCTATAGACAAAGGAGACTCCCCTATCTTGGAATTTAGTTGCAGCCTCAATTCTGATGAGCTTTTGATCGAAAGCATGGCCAGGAGAAATCATGATGATTCTGATGGTCAGGGTGCTTATCAAGGCCCTGCTTTTTCGTAAGTTTTCTTTCTTATCCTAAATTCAATGAAATTTTATTTCAAATCAAAAACTTAAATAAATTGAAGGGGCGTTTACACACATACCACTCAATTTTTATATATTTACATATCAAACACCTAAGCTTCACTTTTTTACATTTTCTATCACCCAAATCCTTCATGTCAAATGAAAAGTGCCACTATTATAACTTTTAAAATGTTTATAGGTAAATGATGGCATGTGTACAGAAAAATTGAAGTTTAGGCGCATTCGATATGTATACGCATAAGAATTGGGTGATGAGTATGCAAGTAAATCTTTCTAAAATAAAATTGAAATAAAAAAATGTGAACCAGAACAATTCCTAAGTTTATATATGATGACTTGGAACCAAATTTATGAAAAAATTAAAGAGGCATTTACATACATAGTACGAAAAGCATTGCTATTTACAAATATAGCACCCCCTTTCATCCATTTTTCAAATTCTCACTCAAATATCAAAATTTATGATAAAACCCCAACTCATATTTTTTCATTTTCATCAAATTCTCAATGGTTTGATCGTGATACATCGGTTCGGTAGTTCAAAATAGCATCTGAATGCTAGAATTTGTAAATAGCAATGTTTCGGTTGCTTTGTATGCAGTTATATGGAAAATCTACAAGGAACCATTCTGTTATTTGGTAGATTTCTAGTCTTCTCTTGCAATTTGCTCCTACTTTGAATAAGCTGAAATTCCATTTTCTGCTGTTCTTATCAATTTCAGTCTTTTGAGAAAAGATTGATTGTATTTCTCTCGCATTTATTGATTGTTTCAGGGATTTGGACGAAAGCTTGCGAAAGGGTCTCCACAACTATCTCAAGGTGAGAGGCATCAGTTCTGATTCCCTCTACGGATTCTTGTATGAATATATGACGATTAAGGATGAGAGGGAGTATCAAACTTGGTTGAAGAACATACACGATTTTGTTCGCAAATAACCCCCATTAGATATATTTATTTTGAAGATTTACATACATACCATTCAATTCATATCTATTTACATATCTAACACCTAAATTTCAATTTTTACATATATGCCACCTTACCTATGCACTAAAAGAGGTACAGTTTACTTTTTAGTAGTCATTTTTTTTTATGTGATGTCTGATATGAAAGATTGGGTGGTACATATGTAAACAATTAATTTTGGGTGTTTGATATGTAAATACATAAGAATTGGCTGGTATGTATATAAATGCCCCTATTTTTTGTCCCAACATTTCATTGCGTTAAGCTGAAATTTAAGCAAGGTTTTTTTTTTTTTATTTCTTTTTTATCTTCAGTTTTGAACATTTTTGAAAATTCAATAGAGTATAAAATTCATCTTGATTAAAATTTGTTTAGCTTTTTATTTAGATATATTCTGTTTATGTGAAACACCTGCCCATTTTTTCCAATTCTGTACTGATCATCTTGATTAAAATTTATATGAAGCACCTGTTTGAATATGGTTTTGCAAATTCAATAAAGTATTTATTATTAAAAATAGAAAAAATTACAAACATACCACAATTTTTTTATGCATTTATACATCTCACCTAGAGTTTGATATTTGCACATGTAAATATTTAAGTATTAAAAATTTATACATGAAAATGTGTATTTCTAAAATTTTAGGCATAATGCTAGTTTTGATGTGATTGCAACAATATGAGTGTTATGTATGCAAGTATGAAAGTTTAGTTGTTAAAAATGTAAATATAAAAGAATTGTTGGAACGTATGTAAATAATGTCTTCTAGAAATATATTATATAGATATTATTAGGAAAGATTTAATCAAACGGCCAGTTGTTCGCGAACAGCTCGTGTTTGACTTGTTAAGATGCTAATGTTTGATTCATTCACAAGTTAACAAGTTGAACGCAAACATTTTTTATGCTAGATATATAAGAGTCAAACACGAACAAATCTTTGTTCGTTCATATTCAGTTTGTTTTGACTCGAAATATTGCTCATCAATTATATATATATATATATATATATTGATAAATAGTTTTTTTTTTATCTAATTGGCTACATGGCTACAAAGATTTGCAATCAATTAAAAAAATAGAATAAAAACATATTAAATTATATTTAATAAATGTTTTAATATAAATAATAGGATTTAAATTTTGCCCCAACACTGAACATCCTATGATTGTGTGATTAGGGTAGTCAAAACTATTCTTTGTTTGCGACTGCTCGTACTCAGCTCGCTATGCAAATGAGCTGAACACGAGACACTTTTTTTGTTCAAAATATAAATGAGTCGAACACGAATAACAATATTTTTTAACAAGTTGAATACGAGCTGAGTCTATGCTCGCTCATATTTGCCTCATTCATACCTCTAGATTTAATGTATCGTTATTACACAATGCCAGAATCTGAAAGACTGCATTTGTCCTTCATTAGTTCTCAAGAAGGCCAGCTTCCTGGTAGAATTCAATAGAATCAACAAGTGTTTCTTCAAATGGTCTGGTTTTCCAACCCAACATCTTTAATTTCTCTGAAGAGAAGATTCGCTCTTCCTCGGACTCAATGAAACTGCCATAAAAGGGAAGAAAAATTATGGGAGGCTATGTAGATGCAGATTTGATGGTATTATAGATCACTACAATACCGCCAATTTGCAATTTGCATGTGCGGATTCGGTGCATGACATTTGTTGTTTATGATAATGAGCACTTTCAAAATATTAAAATATTGCGTGTGGATGAGATAGAAGCAGATTAGGGATACTTTGGTTTCGCAATATCATTGCATTACCACCAAAATATCAAAAATATGCAAGTGAGGTGTCCGCACACAATATTCGCTCCATATTCTACTACTAAAGGATAACACGTTTATAGCAATATATTATAAAGATAATTGCATGCAGACCACCTAAAACATTGATATTTACAAATTAAACACCCAGGTGATTGTTTAAACTACCGAACCAATGTATTTACGAGTGCCAAGATCAACTATTGAGAGTTTCATAAAAAATTGAAAAGTATGGGTTGGAGTTTTACCATGAATTTTAATATTTGAGTGAAAATTTGAAAAATGAATAAAAGAGGGCGGTCGGTTTGTAAATAGCAAGTTTCAGATGGTCTGTATGTAATTGCCTCATTATTATATGCAAATCTTACTTCTGCTGGTATTTGTAGTTCGGATAAATACTCTTCAACTTGGTAATCATGTCATGAATATAGCTCGAATGAGCAGTAGAAATATATCTTCCTGAAGCCTCTGTAGACTCATACACTAGAAGCAAAGCATCAGCCACATCTCGCACATCCACGAGGTGCCATAGCTTGTCCAACATTGGTTCTGGTGCTCCTGTAAACATAAGCAAATGACTAATTTGAAAATTAATAGATTTACTGCCATGTTTGCCTAAATCAATGTATCAACAACAATTCCAAATTAGCCTGATTATATATGTGAAAACAAGAAAGAAGATTAGCGGGCTTAAGGTAGGCAATGATTATTTTTGTAAAACTTAGGCGGTGTTTGGCTATATAACTTAGGTTTAGAATTTCTCAAATCAGACAAATGTGGATTTATCAAATATATACTGCGTTGAGTGATGGCGGAATAACCTATCTCGCAATAGGTTTTATTAAATCTGAATTTACGTCATGGAAGTGATGGAATGAGAGAAAATTGAATTTGTGTTTGGTTGGATTTAAGTTAAATTCATGCCTAAATCCGATTAATAGTATGCTACCAAACACTACTTTAAGCGTGCAGTATGAATGATCGTAATGAGGCAACATACATGAAGAAAGTCATTAACCAGTTTTGCTATGAAAACAATCCATCAAAAGGACTGCTATGCATGATATGGTATTAGCAATTCTGTCTGATCAAATAAGAATATCAACAAAATATTTGAATCTGGCATAATCTTTGGAAATTTTGAAGATTGCCGCCCTGGATTATTTTCCTTTATTTGATTTATGAAATATGAAAGGTTCTTACAACTTTATTTTGAGGAATCATAAAGTTGATATGAAACAGATTCATGAAGTCATGAAGGATGAAACAGATTCATGAAGGGTGTGAAAGCTTATAAAATTGTCATTTGAAAAAGTGTTTGGAGATTTAACATTAAAATTTGGATAACATAAATATCACATTTTGGTTCAGGTTGGGGTGTGTGATTACATATAGGTGTTGGAGCCATGGATACAATTGTTACATTAGTTTTGGGCCCGTTTCGACCTGTTTGAAACAAAATTTGGAAGAGTACCCTTCTTGGGCTGGTGATATTCTTCTTGTATTGATTCAAGGATCTTAGACTCACTTTTTTGTCACAGTTTTGAGGTTTGCTCCACCCTTCATCCTTTCGATCTTTTGGGTGGATCAGTTCCTCCTCTTTCTCATCCCCTTTTTTATTTTTTTTTCCTTGCTTTTTGGTTCAGTTTTCAGTGCTTATGCTGCACATAAGAGCTTATATATAGCCTTTTGCTATATATGAAATCATCAAACAATGTCGCAATTAGGTCAGTTTTGTTTTGGGGCTTAGGGCGATGATGACATAGGCACGACGGTGATAGAGCAAAATGATATTCCATCATACGATATTAGAACCCAATCCTGGGATCTGATAAGTTGTAGGATGACAATTTCATTCACCAACACAAGACTAGCGGGGGACCCTTACCTTCTTAGGTTGTTGGCGGTCCTATGCCCGACAACGTGATCGACTCGTGGACAACTATACTTTTTTTAAAAGATTTATAAAACAAATTGATAAGAACAGATATAATATTTTTACTACAAAATTGATATAACTTCCTTTTTTGTATGCTTGAAATTCATGTGCATGCTTAAATATAAATTTTAAATGTGTTACAACTTGGTTGTCCATTTGTTGATTACCGATATCGGGCTAAGGAGTATTCTTCTAAGTTAGGTTTAGTAGGATATCTTTCTAATTGAGTGGCGGGTTCTATACATCTGAGTGACTGATAGTAGTCTTCGACGTCCCTCGAGTACAAATATATTATATTTGAGCCTAGCCCCGACCCGAGTGATTGCGGTCTCCCATGTTCGGATTTTTTGTATGTTTTATTGGAATTTTTTTTGGGAAAAGCACTCGTGGTCCCTTTTTCCGGGATCTTCCCGAAATTTTGATAATTTTCCGAAATTTTGATAATTGATAATTTTCTTGGAATTGTCATTTGTCGATTTTTCCCGAGTTTTCCGTCGAGGGTCATTTGTCGATTTTCTCAAATTTTCCAGACAATGTTTCTTTTATTCATACAGTAAATACTAGCTCGCTTAAAGGAGCAGCAGACCTCCCAGATATACAGGTTGGATTTACATCACAACATTTTACTTCACAGCATACTGTATTGTTCTTCTTCTTTACTATACATTCAATTATACATTCTACTGTTTTTTCCTTTTACATAGCATATTATACTGTTCTTCTTCTTTACTTTACATTCTATTGTTTTTTTTTTCTTTTATACTGCATGTTTTATTGTTCTGTTACACGTTATACCTTAGAATAGGAGGTCAATAGTTAGTTTTATAGGAAGTACCCGGCAGCAAAGCGTTGCCTAACAATTGCATATACCTTTAAATTTAACATCGAATCCGGAGGTGCTATGACAAGGAGTTTGGAGTGAATAACGTGGGTGGCACGACGAGGACATTCAAAAGAACAACATTAAAACAAATTCATATCATTAAGCACTCTCCTTAGTTTAAATAACAACCCATAGAATTTCGAAGTGGTTTGCCTAGGGTAGCGTAAACCCTCACATATCACTTTTAGGCTTTTGCATAACCCAGTTGTGCAATTATAAGTCCTAACACTTTAGGATTCTGAGTTTACTGTATGGTACGGTGTAAATCCTCCTATCTTTTTAAGCTATTTGCACGATCAAATATAGTGCGAACATAAGTTTTAAATTCTAAATAAATTGCAGAATTAAACATTAAACAACATTATTTCAAAGATATAAAGCCAAACAATTGGATAGTTGGGAAATAATCAGGGTTTTCCCTAGATCTGTAATATCCTCTACTCTTCATTCCTTTGGATTCCTTAAAATAACTATTCCTGTTTGAGCCACTCCCATTTAATTTTCCCATGTCCAATCGTAGAAACTTAAACTTTGAAATCTTAAAGATAGAACCACTGATCTTAATTGAGAGTTTTCTTAAGTGACCCCGATCATTTGAGATGTAATTAAATATAGAGGTTTGACTCTATAAGAAACTTGGAACCCATGTAAAATAAACTCTATCTAATCTTTATATTAAATAGAGAAACTTGTTAGCCTCATATAAAAGTGTTTCGCAGACCAAACGGATATCACAAATTAGTTTAGGTGATTGAGTTTACTACAAGTGATATGTTTATTCTTCGGGATAAGTGTGTTATTTGTGGTATTGCGCTCAGTCATCCAAACTATTCAATATGTGAAACTCGTTTGGTCTCATCTATTTTAAAATTAAAATATTACTTTCAAAAAAATCAAAATCACATATTTATATTAAAACTATTTTCATATCTGCAAAATTATCTCTTTTCCAAACCAGAAAATTAAAAAGACCGACAGTACATAGGTTGAAAAATAAACAAAATAATAGACAGTATTCACAAGAGTAAGATAAAGTAGTATCTGAGGTTGAGTGTATTATGTAGGTTCAAATATACAAAATAGAAGACAATATACTTGTAAGATAAAATAGTAACTGATATGAATCATAACTAGTAATCAATCATAACTGGTAATCAGTTAACAAAAAATAGTTAAGGAATCCAATGACAAAAAAGAAGTAAAGACAAGTATAGGAATCATAACCAACAATCGATTAAGTTTTTATAAATATTTTTTTCACATCATAGCATTACAAAGCTTTAAACAGTTGAAAATATCCAAAGCAACGTGATCGAAGCACACAATAGAAATAACATATACTGTGTCGTTACCATATGAAATAGAACAACATATTATCATGAATGCACAACAATTAAACAACCCTTCATCTGCATAACTTTCGAATTATTACTACATGCCGCATTTCAAAGAGTTGACATAAATGGCTATGACCGAATATTTGAATCACTAACCGGTGCGTATAAATAAATTAGGTAGAGCAATACACTAGCCCGAACTCAAATGGGATAGAATAATTTATCATAAAAGCTATACTTGGCAATAGCACATTTGTACTGAAATAATGATTCAAGCACAAAAAACCAACTGATAAATCACAATTTCCACAAAATTAAGTATTTGGGACCAAAGACTGCATAGCAGGAAACTTTGAAAATCTTTATCAATTAAGCTAGCCGAAAGGCACATAGTAAGCATTTAGGGCTAATTAAAAATCCTCATTTTGTACTCAATCTAAAGTGCCACATGAAATATTAAAGATATGCATCACAAATTAGTTTTTATTAACTCTGTTACATAAGCATATACACTTTTGCTTTCACATCATTAGAAAAACAAGAAAAAGTCAAAAACCGCATTTTATCTACCAAATCAATGCATTTTCATGAAAATGGAATCATATAAGAGCTTCTACATACTAATCACATAAATTGATTGGCAAAACACTGAAAAATTCTTTCAATTTTCACATGGATCAACTTTTAGAGTATCACATTTTTCACCGTCTCTCAATAATTCTTTAGAGTTTCTCATTAATCAAACAACATTAACGCAAAAAAAATGACCTCGGCTCCCAAAAAATCATTTTTATTTCACAAACAATTTAGAAAATGCTTTTATTTTTCACATTGTTCAACCAACGAAGATGCAGGAAAAGTTTTTTGTACCTGAAATGCTTTTTTTTCACGAAAAGTAAGAAATTCTTTAGAATTTCATATTGATCAACCAACAAAATAGCAAAAACAAAACCGTCGACACCAAAAAAACCTTTTTTTTTTTCATTGGCGACTAAAAATACTTTCATTTTTCACGTAAATCAACCAACAGAGATGCAAGAAAGCCCTCTGCATTCAAATAATTCTTTAATTTTTCACGGAGCAACTAAAAAGTATTTTTATTTTTTCACCTTCTTAAGCATTAACAGAGATGCATAAAATTCAAACAAAAATTCCAAGCCAACAATGCAAAGTTGTAAGGAAAACAAAGCTAAAATACATCTGGAGCGAAGAATCAAATGCAAGAGCAACGATGGGGAAGGAAAAGAGTGCACAAAGCTTCGGCTGGCGTCAAAACAGAGGAAGCCCTAGGGTACGATTCACAGTCAACCTTCAATTCTTTGTAGGTTATGTGGTTAATTTCACGGAATAACTGAGGACAGCAATGTCATTCTCGAAATGTGTTGCACGACATTTGCGACATGCAGGCTTCGCCCTCCATGAAAAAAATGTCGGTCAAAGGATGCAAATTTACGTAAAGCCTTCTCGCCATCAAGACGGCTATTCGAAACAGAAAGCAGCTGTGAAGCTGCCCTAAACACACCCTTGGAGTTTATTTAGGGTAGCTTCAATAGTTTGAAGAAGCGGCTGTGAAGCTTTTGCAGAAAAAAATACTGTTTAAGAAGTTGCATTGACCTTTACAAATTTTTATTTTCTAAAAACCAGTCCACGGCTTTCTCGTAGCCACTGCACTTAGCCATGTTAGGTTGTAAAATACAGCTTTTCCACCACAACTTCTTGAGAAAACAAACAAAAATTTGTTTTCCCAAACGTCATAGCAGTGTCATCCAGACCACACCGCAACACACCACCACCACCCCCCAAAGTCATCCTCTATTAATCCGGGTGTGTGTGAATCTTTATAAATCTAGGATAAAAAGCTTTTATTCTATCCCCACAAATATTTGAGCATACAATATCTAAAAAAAGTATTAGTATGTCACCAATTTGGGCAGTGAGAAGCCAACAAATACGCGTGTATTGTCATTCATCATGTTAGTATAGAGTATTTCTAAGAGATTTCCATAAAGTAGTCCGATAAATCAAATCACAAATATCATTGTCATTCCTTGGATCATTACCTAATTAACACAGATTAAGATAAATATTGCTTCATTGTCAGTTCATTATTGCCGTTAATGATAACATATTACATTTTGTGATCAAGTTCTTCTGGTCATCTTCTAAAAATCAGACTAGTGATATTCAAATCACAACAAAGGCAATCTAACCACTTAAAAACATTAGCATAATAAATAGTAAGAAAGAAAAGTGAGTTTCATGTTTTTTCGACCTTCTCATGCTTACAATAGTAAGAAAATAGCAGCATTTACATTAGTAAAAGAATTGTATTAAAAAAAAAATCTTCTAGTTAGACAAACCTTTCACAATATTGAGAAGCATCAAGCTACTAGAATTAACTGTGGTCTGCAATTGTGGTCCATAAACCATTGATGGGCAAACAGTAACCAGATTTAATCCAGTCTTCTCTGCATATTCCCAGGCAGCTCTTTCTGCTAGAGTCTTTGAAAGGGCATACCAATGCTGTAAAGATGTAGTTAAGTAAGATCCGAAATTTAGTTGTATTAATATAATTAAAGTTCTATTTTCATTTACATCTTATCCCAATATTTGATATATAATGATACTTCCTAAATAAATACAAATTCGCACTTCCTTGTAAAGCATCAATCTGCACCACAATATTAGAACCCAAAATATGCTGAATTCCGAAGTACTTGATCAAAAATGTTAGGAGCAAGAAAATATTATCATAAATGATTCACAAGTAGTTTTTGTAGAATACCTGAATTTTCCTCATCCATTCTAGGTCTGACCAACAAGATTCATCCATGACCTTATCCTTGGGCAAATTTGGATTCATAAAGACAGCAGCTACTGACGAAACAAAAAGAACTCGCTTGACTCCTACCTCTGAACATGCTTTCACAACATTGATAGTTCCAGTGAGAGCAGGAGCGATCACCTCAGTCTGCAAATTGGTGAGAATTATGCGAAAAAATTAGGGATTAAAGACTATTGATGATCGATTAAAATAAAATGAAACGATGAGAAAATAGTGCTCAATCAGAAACATTACCTCAGGATTGGGCACCACTTTGAATCCAGGAACAGGACTGGCTACATGAAAAACTCCTTCACATCCTTGAATTGCTGCTAATAAATCATCATATTGAAGAACATCTGCCTTGTAGAGCTGAAGGTTTTCTGAAGCGTTCTCGAGTTTCTTCAAGTGACAATTTTTCTCATCGCCTGAAATGAGATTACTAGTTTCAAAATACAGACACGAAGAAAGAGAAATATGTATGGGGATCAACGAAGCGAATATAAAGAAGGGAAGGATGGGTTTTTTACTTGGATCTCGAACTGTGCCATTGACCTTGTATCCTTCAGATAGAAGGAGCTTCACCAGCCATGAAGCTATGTAACCCCCTGCTCCTGTTACGCAGACCTTCCGCGCCTCCATCTCTCTCTCGCTGTCGCTCTCTCACCCGCGCGCTTCCTTTTCTCTCTCTTGCTCTCCACTTTGCTGTACTTAATTGAATGGTCATTTGAAGTGCAAAGAATTATTTTAGGAAGGTTTACATAAATACCACTCAATTCCTATGTATTATGTTTCCAATATTTTAATTTTAATTTTTACATTCCTGTCTATGCATAAAAAGATGAATTCACTTTTTTTCTAAAATTAAAATTGTGGTATGAAGTATTTCTGTGGTATAAATGTAAAAATCAAAACTTTTTTCGTTAAATACATAATTTTATAGGGATTTAGTGATATGTACATAAATATCCCGATTATTCTATTTAATTTTATATAGGACATTTTTATGAAGAATAATTGATGAATTTTGTAAATTAAAGGAAAGGACAACTAGCCCCATCTAAGTTGACCATTTACTTTAAAAGAGGGCGTGACTGGCTACTTTGTTATCGCATATTTATTTTGCTTCTTGTGTCTTAGTCGGTTGGCTTTCAAACATCTCAATGACGAACGTTTTGAAACCTTTGGGAGAGGCCCTTTGTGGAGAGATAATGAGGGTCACTTTTGAGAAAAATTATTTTATATGGACAAGAAATCTCGATTAAAATCAAAAGTAGTTTAAAAACAAAAGATAAAAATTTATCTCAAATCCTCCACCAAACTCTTAAAGTTCATTTGAATCTCTTTTCTTTTACAATACTCTTGAATTTCACAATAAAACTAAAAACAAAAAGAATAAAGTAAATTTGTGATTCCTGAAAACCTCTCCAAAACAATCTCTAACTCTTCTCAAAACCCTCCCTTTCCGGAAATTTCAAGCACACTTCAAAAAGTCTCAACTTCCTTCTTTTTATAAATCTCCAAGAGGTGTCTTGATAACTCTTAAAAAATGTGTCCCAATTCGATGTATTATCCAAATGATGTCTCATTTCACAAGTCTTCTAACCATATTTTCATTTCTAGGGGTCATAACCACCCTCTTTAGTCAATAGTGTCTCAAATGTCTCTTCAAAATTTGGTAATTTGAAGTAAACTGTCACATAACTGCCTCGGGCACTTAAGCGTGGGGCATCCGGCACTTAGGCGAGGTCTTCTCTGTTTCACCGGCGCTTAGACACTAAAACACTTTAACACAATTTCACATTTTTGCTCCAAATTTGATTATTTTTCATTTCTTTTAGCATTTTTTACTTTTTTACTTGTACCTGAAAGAAAAACACACAAATATCTTTCATTAAAGTGCAATATCTCAAAAAATAGATATAAAAATGTATATAAAAATGTGTTTATATTATATATTTTAAGTGCATCACAGGCCTAAAATGTAATAGAACAAACTTTCCTTCAGCCATTGGGCCAGAGCAACATGTGCTAATGTGGGTTATGAATCCCACACGTCCAACATCTTGTTATGGAACTGAGTAATGAATGAGCAGAGGCTCTTGTCCTAACCTTGCATTATTTGCAGAATGGCATGTGGAATTTTCTAAGGCTTTTGGGTGCTCGCGACCTGCACCTCAAACATTCTTTTAAAGTCAGCGGATGAAGTGATCACCCCAGGTGGCAAATCTTTGAACCACCTAAGGGTCGACTCCCTCAGCATAGTGAAGAAGGGGCGACACTTTAGTGTGTTTATGATCTTCAACACATAGATAGTTGACTTGAAGGAAGTTATGTGGTTAATCTGATTAGTTTGACCTTTGTAAGATTCAAAAGCATAGATTTTTAATCTTTCTAGGAACTCAGTTTTAGAAACATGCTCAGAGAATGTATTCTTGGACTTGCTTCATGGATTATGTTATTATCAGTTCTTGGACCCTGATGAGGAATCTTAACTGCGCCTATGATATGACTAACGATATTGAACTCTTCTCTTGAGTCGAGTTGGGCGATAGGTAGGTCGAAGCCTTTACTCGACTTAATTAGTCTTAGTCCTTGGTTTGGATGGCCTACATTCGATCAGCCTCTAGCCACGTGTGTCATTTGATCTTCTGCTAGTGGGCCATCCTTAGCTGTACTTTTTAGCCTCATCCATTGAATATCCTCAAGATTCGTGTTGATGCATTCCTGATGTACAATAACTAAATAAATATTTTTAAAAATAAAAAAAAATAAGTGTGATCACGAACATATCCAATGTTGCCTTACTTATAGTTTTTTATTGACTTTTTTTTGTTAATTAAATTGTTCTATGTAGTCATGATTTAGATATTAATCATCTATGTGTTTGTTGAAATTCTTACAATGATACTCGTCTTTACTTATTTTTCGAATGCATTTATTCTCTTTTGCTTTTTAAAGCTTGTTTTTTTCAATATTTTTATCTTTTGGGTTCTCATATTTATCAAGTTTTAGAACATGTGGATACTTTTAATTATAAAATTTTCAAGAATTTTGTTTACTTATTGCTCATAGTACTCCATTATTAATGGCTTGAAAAGAGAATACTATAATCTCTTGAATACTTGCTCTCCTAATGACATTATTAAAGAGAAAGATTACTCTCATATCAGCTAAAAATCCAAGAAATTGGGAGAATATGGATGATATTCCTATGAGTATCATGAATTTATAATTATCATAATGGAAATTAATTATTTGAAAAAATATGTAAATGCATAAAATCTTAAAAAGAATACATATTTTAGTTTGAAACTTAAGATATAATTCTTTAAATATAATGATCTCTATAACTGTTTAAGAGAAGGAATTGAAAATTTAATAGAAGCTTTAAATTTATAAAAATGTATTATAGTTTTAAAAGTTAAATTTTATTCTAATTTAAATATTAAATTTAAAATTTATTAAAAAATATATTCTTTTCCAAAAAAGGTTAATAAAATATTTAAGCATAATATTTTAATAAATTTGCTAAATAAACTTGATAAAAATTAAAATTTTCCGAGAATATTTTTTTAAAATATTTATAATTTCATAAATTAATTAAGAAAATTTAAATGAAAACAAAAAGAAAATGGTATAGGAACATCCATATTTTAATTGCCTTTTTAATGGGGGACCTATGATAATAGCCGGTCACCCATTCGATGCAAAATTTTTTTCTGTGTGGATTCCTGACGTAGCTCTACGTGCGGAGCAGTGTATTCCTGAGTTACTTTCAGGTTATTTCTGGGTTATTTTCAATAATCCCAAAATAACCTGCGGTATTTATTTTTGGGTTATTTCTGGATTATTTCGGTATTATTGTAAATAAACCAGAAATAATCTAAAAATAACTCAGAAATAACATGCACCACACGTAGAGGTACGTCAGGTGTCCAGACAGAAAATGCGCGCCATTCGATGAGGTATCAACCTCTTCTTAATTTTTTTTAAATATGCTTTAGTTCAAAAAATGAATAAATTATATTTAAAAAATTATCATTATAATATATTATCAGTATTATGAATAAAATATTAATTTAATTTATAATTTAATTATTTTATATTTTATGTAACAAATAAAAAAGAATTTTAAAATCTCATGGATGAAACTCCACTCTATTTCCAATACTCTCGACATTTAACATATGGTAGGCGGCCTAAACCTCACATTTTTTTTAAAAAAGAAGTCTCCCATCATTTGGACACACATAATAAAATTTCGGCAAACCAAATATAATGACAATAACATAATTTGTATGTCAAAACTAGGGCTTACTTAATATCTACATATGGCTTATTATTTCGATGTGTAGTGAGGCTTTATCATGCAACATACATGATAAAATATTTTAATTATAATTTTTATAAATGTGCCTAAGACACTTCTCTCTCTCTCTCTCTCTCTCTCTCTCTCTCTCTCTCTCTCTCTCTCTCTCTCTCTCTCTCTCTCTCTCTCTCTCTCTCTCTCTCTCTCTCTCTCTCTCTCTCTCTCTCTCTCTCTCTCTCTCTCTCTCTCTCTCTCTCTCTCTCTCTCTCTCTCTAAGTAGCCTTTTGAAATGTCGTAAGTTCCCTCAGGTCACAAGTTCTAATCCTCCCGTCTAGTATGTGGTATCCGAATATTTAACACACCTAATGATGGTTTGGGTTTCTCTAATAGCCTCCGGTCATTCCTTTTCTAAACCCTTAAATCTTTTATTTTTTGTTATGAAATAAATATACTTGGAAGATTACTTTCATTGATTTCCAAAAAAATAAAAGTAAATTAGTTGCTTTGTTTTTATTAATAGTGGTGTTGTCAGTCAGTAAAATTAATTTCAATAAAATCTCAAAATTATTTGAAGTATTTTGAAAATAATTGAGTTTATTTTAAAATTTTAAAATAAAAGTATTAAAAAATATATTTTTAAAAATAAAAATAAGAGTGATCATGAGCATATCAAACATCGCATCACTTAAATTTTTTGTTTGATAAAAAAAAAAAATTTGACAGTCCTTTCAATATTTTGATTATAGTTGTAATTTCAAAAGGCGATCAAAGGGATCTATCCTTCCATAGCATTGGCAACTGCAAAGATTCTGATCAGTTAAAATAAACCAACTCTAAATAATTTTTTAATGACTTTTTGTTAACTAAATTTATTTTATGTAGTCATGGTGATATTAGAGTTAACCCAAATCTTATAGAAAAAAAAATATTTTTATTGAAAACAAATAGGTGGCTACAATCAATACACTTGATAGGGAAACAATAACAGGACACTCGAAAATCTGAAATAGCAATACACACATCACAAGTATCAAATTAGGGTGGGAACTCAAGGTGATGATGGTGATTAGCGAGGGTTTAGAAGATGGAAATAAAGTTGGAGAGCAGAGAAAGTGGGTGGATATGACATAGATAATAGGTCCTTGTTGTCCTGAGAGACAGAAAGGTTGAATTTGGATTTCTAGGGGCAGGAACAACGGGTTTCAGCCATGTGGCAGGGGTTGGTGTAGAAAGGTTGGAACAAAGTTAGGTGACAGAGACGTGGTCCAGGATGACTGGTAGAGTAGCTTGTGGGAAGGCGAGAGGATTTATGGTGGTCGAAATAGCAATGATAGCAATTGGTGGTGAGGAAATTGCAAGGAACGTGGGTCGGAATGCAAAACTGTAGGAAGGAAAGTATCAACAACTGTTAAGGGTGGTTGTAATAGGGAACAACGGCGGGAAGCGATGTGTGGAGGATGTAGCAGGAGAATAGGAAAAATAAACACCATCTCGGGAGAGGAGTACAATCAGAGCACCCCAAACCATCAATACAACCCTAAAATGGAGATAATAGACAAAGACGACTGTCCTAAATAAAAAACACAAAAAACTAACTTACAAACATTAATACAACACATATATAGAAAATGACTAAAAAAGAATAAGAGATGATAGGAAAGAAAGTATAAGAAAGGACAACATGATTATTTCGACACGTCTTCGACGATAGATATTCCTGTGGTACTATAACAACTATAGTACCATGGTAATTTTGCGTGATTTTGTAGCAACTATAGTACCTCGGTAATTTTGTGCAGCGATTTTCCACGTTAATCTCCCAGGATTGTGGGAAGTTCAACATCATTTGTCAAAGCTTTTATCTTGTGATTATATGATTTCAGATTGGCCATGTTGAAGGTGGCAGAAACATTGTAACATTTCGATAAGTCAATCTTATTGGCATTGACATTCCAAAAGCATATTTTGATAGAATAGGTATCCATCCTATTTTGGCGCAATCATAACTACAATTATATGTCGATGGATATCCTCATGAACCATGCCTCGAGCAATCAAACCTTTAATTGTCTTCTTCCACTCTTTATATTTGTCTGCGTGCATATGATAAATAAGTATGTAAAGAGGAATCAACTTGAATGAAATCTATGGAAGGTTGGACCACACTGAAGTATAACAACTTAGGAGAGGTCTGTTCTTCTTCTTTTTTCTCTGAAAGGACCTTGATCACACTGTAGGATATTCATTTCTACAAAGCTCCTAAGGTGATTTCCATCACTATGGTTCATCCATCCTGCCTGATCAACTATCGATGGGTACACTGCTAAATTGAATTTTATACCTCAATGACTCCTCATGGGCTTCCAAAAGTGACACAAAAAAGTCTCATCTCAGACATATTGGACCTCCCGCAATATGGGCAACTCAAAAAGTAGCCTATATATATGAAATGTCTGAATTTTTCTTATCCAAGATTACTCTGAATCTAATATTGGTTTCTTAAACACATGACCCTTTTGGACATTCAATATCAGTTTTGTTGATGCTTCTCTCAACATCTAGGGTTCAATTGGAATCATTGGTGTCTCTTCCTCGTAGGCTAGAAGTTGAAAATCATCTTCTCATGGATCACCATTTATTTTTTCAACTGTTTTGTGATCTGTAAAAGAATCATTCTCCTAATTATGCAATCTAATTCGGTATGCTAATCCATGGTACTTAAAACACTTCTTGGTAGGGATGAACATTGACATGCTAGTTGGTGCCTTTTGATTTCCCCTCTGAGTTAGTGTCTCCTCATGTTGGGGTCAACTTGGATATTTCTCTAGGTGTACTCTTGGGCTAAACCCTTCCTATAAGATATGATGATCTCCAGATGATGTGGTCTCTCTATTTTTTTAGCTCGGGATTTGGACATCTGGTCTGTAATGAGCTAGTATGAAGTGGCGTTGCATCTCACATTTCATCTTGGACCAGGTAATAATTTTATCTTTTCCCTCTCACTGGTGTATGTATTTAAGATTTTGCCCCAAAATAATGCACTCTTCTTCAGCTTGCTAATGTATAGTTTCATCATTCCGTTCGGTGGGACGGCCTAACACTAGAAGACACATTCCAAAGTCTAGGCTATTATTTGAGCTCATTTAGATCCATGTGACTATTAAAATATGGCAAATCTTCCTTTCCAAATTTGTGCTTCTCTTTTATTTCATGTCACATCTTTGAGGTAAGGGTTCTTCATCCCTAATATTCGTGCGATGGAAAAGATTCACTTATTACTTCAATATAGCAATTCCTTATTGTGGCTATGGGTAACCAATGTTGATTGCCTCCTCTCCAAGGTGGCAAGTCTTTGTTGTAGTTGGCAGGTAAAAGAATCATCTTGACACCTATTTGTGGATTTCTCATAAACAATATCATGTCATCTCCACTCAATCATGCTTCCAACGATTCTCTCCTTGGTGGAATGGATAGGTTTTGGGTGTGGGAAGGTGGAAAGTATGTGTTTAGGGTGATGTAGGGTGAGAAATAAGTTATTTATTTATTTTTATTTTTTTTTGGTAGAGATAAGATTTGGGTATGACGGATGCTAAAAACCCTATGATAAGACTAGGGTTAGGCTAACCTTGTTACCAATTGATACCAGTCTTAACCGAAACCACATAGGAAAAACAAATATTATTATTAAAGGCATATATGAGGTTACAATCAACACACTTGAAAGCGAAAATACAACACGACACCCAAAAATTTGAAAAGCAACTCACTCAACACAAATAATCAAACTAAGGCGGGATCTAGGGGTGGTGCTGGTGATCAATGAGGGTTTGGAAGATGACAGTAAGGTGGGAGCACGGAGCAAGTGGGTAGATATAACAACAAGAAAATAGGTCCTTGCTGTCTTGGATGACAGAAGGTGGAATTTGGGCTCGTAGGGGTTGAAATAGTGAATATGTGGCAGGGAGGTGGTGAAGGGGGGTTGGGACAATAGTAAGGTGGCAGCGATGTGGTTCAGGATGACTAGGACAACTATCTCAAAGTGAGAGGAATCAACGTTTCCCCTGCGGATTCTTGTATGAATATATGATGAATAAAGATGACATGGAGTATCAAACATGGTTTTTCTCCATTACATCCTATTGAGGTGTTAAATAATGAATCCTTTTAGGTATTAATACTACAACAACAATAACAAGAAGTCTTTAGGTGTTAAATATTTAAATATAAAGGAATTGTGTGGTCAGCACATGTAAATGCCTTTTAAAAATATATAGTATAAATATTATTAAGAAATTTTTAAGATATTGTTATTACACAATTAAATATTTAAATATAATGCATACTTACAAATTAATATGGAAGAGAATCTGAAAGACTGCATGTCACACCCTGGGTATGGAAGGTGGGTATATCCCGACAATGTAGGACATGAAATGAATTGAACTTGTTTGTATTCTTAAAAGAAAAAGATTATCCAAATAAAAACATAATGGAATAAGAAAAATTCAATCTTATTCAATAAATAAGAGTTGAACTGATACAACAGAAAAAAATGAGATAACTGGAAGAAACTAAAATAAAAATAAAAAAAAAACTACTGAAACTCAAAAAGAAAAATACAATAACTAATACAGAATTGAAAAAATACCAAAAACAAATCTAAAGTAGATAGTCTGCTCCGATGGAGAGGGTTCTACAAGTGGTTGAGTGAAAACTGTTATATAAAAATATCAACATGTGAGTTTGAAAATCAAACTAAGTAAATAATAATTATTTATTAAAGCATAAACGACAAGAAAAATAGAGCATGCAATGTGACAAATAAATAGAGACGATTTACTATGTGTGTAAAAGAATTTGCAAAGACTACCATATGTTTATAATCCCGAGTAAAAGTGACTTAAAAACACATGCACATTTATATAAATATTTATATGCTACAATATTAAATATTTTTTTATAAATATGACTCATCAATCATTTTACACTGTCTGATAATATTTCAATATATACATAAGTACATATATAAAATTATATGTGTGTGTGTCTGCACCGCCAGCCATTGCCAGTGGCTTGTTGGTAGAGCAGCCTCTTTAAAGGTAAGTCCCCTCAAATCACGAGTTCGTGGCTGAGGGCTGGTATAATAGCCTCCTGCCATTATATATATATATATATATATATATAGAGACACACACACACACACACACACACACACACACTCCCGAGGACTTGTCAGTCCGGCTAGCCATAATAAATGAGTTTAATACAATAATATTATAATATTAGTTATATTTTATGCATCACAATCAAAACGTCGAAATATAACTATAAAATTTCAACCAATATTTATAAATAATTGTCGAATTGTAACAATAAAATTCATATATCAATGCTATAAATAAATAATAATACTACAATATGACACGTGAGTAATTAAATATGAGTCTATGCAACGATAAAACAAGATTAATTAAATATGAAAGTCATTATGAACACAAATGAATTCTAATGCAATTATATTAACGAAGTTTCAATCATACGAATGACAAACCTACATTTAGATAGAAATCTAAAACAAATAGGATCTATTTGGGGTAGTTGCGACAATTTGAAGAAACAGCTGTGAAGCTGCTGCAGAAGAAGTTACTGTTGAAAAACTACGGTGACTATTATAAATTTATTTTAATTTTAAAAAATTAAACCACAGTTTTCTGGCATACACCATACTTTAAAATGTTAGGTTAAAAAAACAGCTTCCTATCACAAAAATTTCTAGAAAACAGTAAGAAAGTAGTTCCCCATACAAAACAACGATCCCAATCTGAAAAGCAAAACTGTCAGAAAGCTACCCCAAGGAGACCTTTAGTAAGGATGTCACTCATAACTAAGAATGATATATTTATCCCATAATAAAAAACAATTATCTCGAGGTGACGAACATAATACCTCTACGAATTCAACAATTTGACTATCAATCATACACCAATTAGAAAATAAGAAAATAGTTATACAATTATGTTATACCATTAAATCAAGCATAACCTAATCAATATTTATTATTATTATTATTATACTTTTAGAAGAAAAAATCGTTTTCCTAACTGATAATTAAAATAATAACTTGTTTTTAGAAAAAAAATGATTTCTAAATAATTTTTTTGGGAATTTACATGCGTAACACTTAATCCAATAAAAAAAAATTATCAAACCCTACAAGTTTTTAAATCTCGTTTCTCTATTTTGTCTTAAATCTCAGGAATTTTTATTGCGTGCGCAGGTGTCCAATCTGAACCGTCAAAAAAATTTGAGTGGGTCACACTCTAATAATAAAAAGAAATATTCAGATTGATGTAAATATGAGAAATTTGAGGTGTCCGCAGACGATAAAAACTCAAATCCCAGACTAGAGATCCGGTCGGGACATAAATTTACGGGGTTCAAAGAGGCTGAGGCGCGCGAGGGTGGCAGGGAGAAAAAGGGGGTGGAAGACGAGGGTTACCTTCGTAGATGGTTTCGAGTGAGAGCGGACAAGAGGAGGTGATGCCCTTGGCCATCTTTTATAGGTGCAATCGACGATTCGGAAGGCTGAAGGCGAGGGCGGGAGAAAAAACTTGAGTTCGCAAGATTCCAAATCGGGAAGGTCGTAAGAAGAACAGGAAATAGTAGGCGAAATGAGGGATTTTTGGTGCTTACACTGCATTTGTCCTACATCAGTTCTTCTCAAGAAGGCCAGCTTGCTGGTAGAATTCAATAGAATCAACAAGTGTTTCTTCAAATGGCCTGGTTTTCCAACCCAACATCTTTAATTTCTCTGAAGAGAAGATTCGCTGATGCGTTCTCGCTCTACCTCTGGCTCAATGAAACTGCCATAAAAGGAACGAACTATTAGAACTGCAGTTTAGTATCATATTCTAATACTAAAGGATAACGCCTTTATACAGCAAAATATCATTTGCAAATCTTACTTCTGCTGGTACTTGTAGTTGGGATAAATACTCTTCAACTTGGTGATCATGTCATGAATATAACTCGAATGAGCAGAAGAAATATATCTTCCTGAAGCGTCTGCAGACTCATACACTAGAAGCAAAGCATCAGCCACATCTCGCACATCCACGAGGTGCCATAGCTTGTCCAACATTGGTTCTGGTGCTCCTGTAAACATAAGCAAATGACTAATTTGGAAAATTTATAGATTTCTTTTCAAGCTTCCCTGAATCAACGTATCAACAAAAATTCCAAATTAGCCCAATTATATATGTGAAAACAAGAAAGAAGATTAGCCGGCTTAAGGTAGCCAATGAATGTTTTTACTTATTTTTTGAATATGACTCATTTTTTTTCCACATTGAATGCTTTCTCAATTACACTTCATAATAATGAGTGTTGTTTGTTAAATAATTTATTACTACATATAACCAATTGGATGTTGCATTCAAAATTAAAAATGTGGCACTTCGCATCAGGAAAGAATTTCAAGAAATCTCATTGCATGGGATACCTAGCATCAACGAGGTAATATTTCTTTGGATGCAAATAACATTAAGACATCAAAACCAATTTAATTTGAATTAATTTGATTAATCTATTGACTATAATGGGACATTAAGAATTTATATTCAAGTATCGGAGTTACAATTTTGAATATGCGATTGTCATAAACATTGTATTCTCATCGTATCATTAACACATATTGAAGTCACACACTAATAGATTCCACGTAAGAGATCCACAATATTCTATATATGCGATTTTGTGCATCGACATGTGTGTCATCAATAGCTCTAATACAATAATATTAGAAATTTTTGTTCATGCCTATGAATTAAAAAGATTATTTAATGAGTACCTTAAAGAATAACACGTGTATAATATCGTCACATATTTCTCTTGGAGTACGCTAAAAAGTTAGAACTTTTGATTTGACAATATTTTATATAAAAAATATTAATTATAATCAATATCAAAATATCTGTTAATAGTCTCAGTTGAATATTGAAATCGCTTGGAAATAGCATGCATGGACTTATTATGTGATATTATATCTAAAGTAATTGTCAATACTTCCTTGTGCGTAATTTTGGACGATTCATGCAAACCATAAATATTTTGCAATTCATTCAGTATATCACAAAAAATTGTTTTGGACATTCAGAACATATTACGAATTCTATACGAATGATCTTCAAAAAGCTCACAAATCAATTAGTCACCTACATAGGAAGATGTTATGCACAATGTCTTACACAAGCATGTTTGGTAGTATTCATTGATGAAACATTATAATTATCAAAATTATTGTCTGTTATATTATCTCCATTAAAAATCTTCAAATAATGGATCCATCAAAATACTTCATGAATGTCAAAATAAAAAATAAATCATGAACTGGACAAAAAATGAACAATTAACTTTGACAGTAATTGCTTGGAATTGTATTGAAATATTACGATTTAATAAAAAAATAAATAGAACTCTAAACATTATTCAGTAACATATAAAGTATAAGTGACATAAAAACACAAATACAACTTGTTCAAGTATGTGTTCAACTTAATACAAACAAAACATAAGCACAAATTAATACACCAAATTCAACTAATTGATTGTTAAAAAAATAACGAAGATAATGAATACTCCACTCCAACACCATTATTATAAAAACGTCCAGCTTTGTTGGGTCTTCAAAAAGTTTTATTGAGAATAAATATAATAACATGTCCCTTAAGATTTCAAGAGTGCAGTTTAGTAGCTTAATGACTTCTGCAATCAAAGCATATGCCTGTGTTGTGCTAGCACTGGGCGTCATACTAGTACAAGTTAATTATTAAAGAAATAACGAAGATAATGAATACTCCACTCCAACACTATTATTATAAAAGCCACCAGCTTTGTTGGGTCTTCAAAAAGTTTTATTGAGAATAACTATAATGACATGTCCCTAAAAACTTCGGGAGTGCAGTCCAGTAGCTTAATGACTTCTGCAATCAAAGCATATGCTTGTGTTGTGCTAGCATTGGACGTCATACTAGTACAAGTTGTAACTAACTATGAAATTTGTCCACTAAAAAATTTGGCGTCGACTTCTTTTTTCCTTTTAGATTGTTGGTTTTGCGGTGCGTAGTGTTTAGGTTGACTGAATTCATTATTTTCTACCTTGTGTGGCAGTTCCTTGTGAACTTCATTCAGGCTCATCCAAATTTTGGGAAGTAACATATGTTGTAGCCCAGACATTAGAGTTCAAAATAACAACATCGACAAACATCAAATCAACTTTCTCTTCCAGCTTGGGGTTTGTGCCATACTTAACTTTTTTTGCATTGGGAATAACCTACATTTGAAAACAACATTGTTGAAATGATATGAAATATGAACGATTTATATAACATTATCTACTTACCAAAAACTTCTTTCTCTACTTTCTCGAATGCATCTAATGTTTTCTAAATAGAATCCCCACCTAATTCAGTCGCACCTCACTTTAGCTCATTCCATAATTTCCAATCATTTTTTAGTTGATCTCATTTATTCTTCAATCCTATTTTTTTCATGAATTTTTTTTTTTATAATTGTCAGTCTTCTTTATTGAAATAAGTTGCAGGAATGTTGTCTAATTTGTTCTCTTTTAAGCACAAATCACAAAATAAATTTTGCATCTCACTCTCAAGTGACCGATAGACCTTTTTATTTTCTCGTTTTTTGAGCTAAAAAAATTGAAGTGATATTATAATAAAGGTGGACAATGTAAACTAAAATTTTCAAATGCAAAGGCATGATGTTAAAAAAAAGAATATAAAATGTTGAAAAAAATACAAATTAAGACTATAGATAAAAACTAATTAACAAAAAAAAAGTGCATCAAAACTTAAAAGGGCCAAGCAATCGAAGTAGAGTTTAACGAGATCATTTTGTTAAATATTGGCCCATCTAGAATCACCATTTGCATTCAGTTAGAAACATGAGGTATAAGATAATATGCTTAAGCGTGAGATAAGATGGTATCCAAAGAGGAGTGTGCCATATAGGTTGCAGAATATACAAAATAACAAACAATATTCGCAAGAATAAGATTAGGTAGTATCCAAGATTGAGTGTGTCATGTAGATTCAGATATACAAAATAGAAAACAATATGAATCACAGCTAATAATCAGTTAATAATAAATAACTAAGGAATTCAATGACGGCAAAATAGTAAAGACAACAATAAGAATCATAACTAGTAATCAGTTGAGCTCTCTGTGAATAATTTTTTCGCATCATAGCTCTACAAAATTTTAACCATTTGAAGATACCCAAAGTAACGCAATCGTCACTCACATTATAAATAGTATATATTGTGTCATTCTCATATAAAATAGAACAACATATTATCATGAATGCACAACAAGTAAACAACAATTTTTCATCTGCATAACTTTTGAAAGTATATGTCCTATTTTAGAGAAGTGCACAAACCAAAATAAAATTGCAAAGAGTTGACATAAATGGCTATCACTGTGCATAATTGAATCACTAACTGGTGCCTATAAATCCTCTAGGTAGAATAGTGCAATAGCCCAATCTCAAATCGGAATAGAACAATTTATCATCAAAGCTATAATTGGCAATAGCAAATTTGTATTGAAATAACGATTCTATAATTTAAAAATCTCAACAGTTTCCACATGAGGTATTAAACATATGTGTCACAAATCATCTTTGTCATCTATGTTACCTAAGAATGTACATTTTGCTTTCATCATTAGAAACACAAGAAAAAGCCAAAAACCGCATTTTATCTACCCAATCAATGCATGCTCATGAGAATGGTATCATATAAGAGCTTCTACATACTACTCACATAAGTCTATTAGCAAAACACTAAATAAATCTTTCATTTTTCACATAGATAAAGCTTCGGAGTTTCACAGTTTTCACGGCCACTTAAAATTTTTTTAGAGTTTCACATAAATCAACCAACATAAACGCAGAAAAAGACCTCGGCTCCCCAAAAAATCATTTTGCTTTTCAAGGGCAACTAAAAAATGCTTTCATTTTTCACATAGATCAACCAATAGAAAAGCTAGAAAATCTCTCAACACTCAAAATGCTTTCGTTTTTCACAACAAAGTTTTTGACATTGATCAACCAATAGAGATGCAAGAAAAATCCTCTACACTCAAAATGCTTTTGTTTTTTTACGGCCACTAAAAATTTTTTAGAATTTCACAATGATCAACCAACACAAACACAAAAAAAAAAACATCGACACACAAAAAAGCCTTTTGTTTTTCATGGGCAACTAAAAAATGCTTTCCTTTTTCACAAAGAAAAGCCCCCCAGCACTAGAAAAATTCTTTCATTTCTCACGGAGCAACTAAAAAATATTTTCACTTTTTCACATAAATCAACCAACATAGATACAAGAAAAGCCCGCTTTCATAGGCATTAAAAAAGATGTAAAAAATTCAAAATAAAATTCCAAACCAACAATGCAATGATGTAAGGGAAACAAAGCTAAAACTCACCTGAAGCGAAGAATCAAAGGCAGAAGTAGCGATAGGGGAGACAAGGAGTGCACAAAGCTTCGACCAGCACTAAACTGAGAAAGCTCTAGGGTGCGAGACACTATCTACCTTCTTTTTTTTATAAGTTAGGCGGGTAATTTCGAGGAATAACCAAAGACGGCGCTCTCATTTTCAGAACCGTGTTGCGGGACATTCACAAAATGCCGCTTCCCAAATGTCTCTAACACGACTTTTCAAAATGAAAAGTAGTTGTGAAGCTGCCCCAAACACATCCTTAGAGTCTATTTCGAGCAGCTATAGGTATTTAAAGAAGCAATTGTGAAGTTGTTGCAGAAGAAACTACTGTTCAAGAAGATGCATTATCTATTACATATTTTTGTTATTATATAAAAATTGGACCACAACTTTCTAGCAATCACTATACTTAGTCAAGTCAAATTGTAAAACAAAGCTTTTCCACCATGCCTTCTTGAGAAAACAGCCAACAATTTTTTTCCCCAAACGCCCCAGCAGCACAATCTAGATCGCCACCGCCCCCCAAAACGCACCCATAATCAATCTGGATGTGTGTAGATCTTTGTAAATCTAGGACAAAAAACTTTTATTCGACCCCCAAAAATAATCGAGCACACAATATCTAAAAAGAGTATTACTAGGTCACCAAATTGGGCAGTGAGAAACCAAAAAATACAAATGTACGGTCATTCATTATGTTAGAATAAAGTATCTATAAGAGATTGCCATAAAGTAGCAACATAAATGAAATTACAAATATCCTTGTCATTCCTTGGATCATTACCTAACTAAAACAAATTAAGATAAATATTGCTTCATTGTCAGTTCATTATTACAGGTAATGATAACATATTACATTTTGTGATCATAGTTCTTCTGGTCATCTTCTAAAAATCAGACTAGTTATATTCAAATCATAACAAAGGCAATCTAACCTCTTTAAAAAATTAGCATAACAAATAGCAAGGGAAAAAGGTGGGTTCGCATGCCTACAATAGTAAAAAAATAGCATCATTTACATTAGTAAAAGAATTATATTAAAAAAAAATCTTCTGGTTAGACAAACCTTTCACAATATTGAGAAGCATCAAGCTACTAGAATTAACTGTGGTCTGCAATTGTGGTCCATAAACCATTGATGGGCAAACAGTAACCAGATTTAATCCAGTCTTCTCTGCATATTCCCAGGCAGCTCTTTCTGCTAGAGTCTTTGAAAGGGCATAACAATACTGTAAAGATGAAATAAATTAAGATCCACAACTTAGTTGTACTATTATAATTAAAGTTCTATTTTCATTTACATCTTATCCCAATTGATATATATTGATACTTCCTCAGTAAATACCAATTCACACCTCTCTGTAAAACATCAATCTGCACCAAAATATTAGAACGCAGAATATGCCAAGTACTTCGTTACAAATTTCAGAACTAAGAAAATATTATCCTAAATGATTCATAAGTAGTTTTTGTAGAAATTTGGATAAAAGGGATCAAGTCAAAACAATTACAGTCAAATGTTTAAATTCATATGCAAAGAAAATCAATACTATTTTCATTGCAACAACTTCTTTAATTAAACTTGATGCTCTCACAAGCATTTGCAAAAAATTCAGCTCTTCTATTTACATCAGAAAACCCTAGCTTCATAAATGAGAGTCATGCATGATAGAATACCTGAACTCCCCTCCTCATCCAGTCTTGGTCTGACCAACAAGACTCATCAATGACCTTATCCTTGGGCCAATCTGGATTTATAAAGACAGCAGCTATTGACGAAACAACAAGAACTCGCTTGACTCCTACCTCTGAACAAGCTTTCATTACATTGATAGTTCCGGTAAGAGCAGGAGCGATCACCTCACTCTGCAAATTTGTGAGAATTTTGCGAAAAACATTAGGGATTACAGACTATCGATGATCGACTAAAATAAAATGAAATGATGAGAATTTAGTGATCGATAGGAAACATTAATTACCTCTGGATTGGGCACCACTTTGAATCCAGGAACAGGACTGGCTACATGAAAAACTCCTTCACATCCTTGAATTGCTGCTAATAAATCATGAAATTGAAGAACGTCTGCCTTGTAGAGCTGAAGGTTTTCTGAAGCATTCTCGAGTTTCTTCAAGTGACCATTCTTCTCATCGCCTGAAATGAGATTACTAGTTTCAAAATACAGATACGAAGAAAGAGAAATATGTATGGGGATCAACGAAGCGAATACTACGAAGGGAAGAATGGGTCTTTTACTTGGATTTCGAACTGTGCCGTTGACCTTGTATCCTTCAGATAGAAGAAGCTTCACCAGCCATGAAGCTATGTAACCCCCTGCTCCTGTTACGCAAACCTTCTTCGTTTCCATCTCTCTCTCTCTCTCTCTCTCGCTTCCTTGTCTTTGCTTAGTACTTTAAGTGAAGTCCTGCTAGGCGTTGTAAGTATCACAGTTTAAGAAGTTCCGATTAAATATTAAAGTATGAATAATCTTTAATTTCTTTAATTTATTTTAGAATAAGCGTGATATAAATTTTATTTTTTATTTTTTTTATAATTATCAGAGTTTAAAGTACTAATTTGAAAAAATATCTCAAATTAATAAATATTCAAAATGTTAGATATTTTAGTCTGAAATTTAGGATATAAATATTTATATATTTCCTTAAATATAATGTCCAAGAGAATGAATTGAAACATTAATAAAAGCTTTAAATTTATAAAAATATATTATAATTTTAAAAGTAAAAAAAATTATTCTAAATTGAAGACTAAATTTAAATTTTATAAATAAAATAATATTTTCAGAAAAAAAGATTTATGAAATAGTTTAATAAATTATTTTAATTAAATTACTGAATAAATTCAGTGCAATTAAAATTTTAAATTTTTCTAAGTCTAATTTTAAAATTTTTATAATTAACTAAACTAATTAAGAAAATTTAAATGAAATAAAAGAGAAGAATTTGGGAACATCCTCGATTTAGTGGCCTATTTAATGGGAGGACTTATAATAATAGCCAGTCGCCCATTGGATAAGATAAGGTATCAATCCCTTCTTAATTTTTTTTTTTAAATATCCATTAGTTCAATAAATCAATAAATTATATTTTAAAAAGTTATCCCTATAATATATTATCAGTAATATTAATTTAATTTATATCATTTAATTGTTTTATATTTTATTTGACAAATAAAAACTAACTTTAAAATCTGATGAAAGAAACTACTCTATTTTCAGAGAAAAATTTTCAGAGTGTATTTTCCGTCCGGACATCTGACGTACCTCTACGTGCGATGCATATTATTCATGAGTTATTTTCAAGTTATTTCTGGGTTATTTTCAATAATCCCGAAATTGAAAATAACCCAGGAATAACCCAAAAATAAAGACCGCGGGTTATTTCTGGATTATTTCGGGATTATTGAAAATAACCCAGAAATAACTTGAAAATAACTTAGGAATACCCCGCACGTAGAGCTACGTCAGGAGTCCGCACAAAAAAATTTTTGCTATTTCCAACAACTCTGGGCATTTGAGATGGGGACGGCCACCAAAAGCTCTTTTTTGTTTAAATAATAAGTACTCCATGATTAGGATGACATATAATACAATTTTCACAAACCCAATATAATAATAATAATAATAATAATAACATAATTCGTTTGTCAAAACTAGGGATGAATTAATATCTACATATGGCTTATTATTTGGATTTGTATGATAAACTTACATTATAAAATATTTTCATTATAATTATTTTATAATGGTGCCTAAGACACCTCTAGATATATTTATATTTTTGTGTGTGCCTATCAATGTTTATGTATATTTGTATAAATATGCATCTAAATTTATGTATATTTGTATGTATATTAATCTTATTTTGAAATATCAAATAAAATATTTATTATGCTATCAAGAATAATTAAACAGTACAGGCATGTGGCCGGTTAGAGTCCGAAAATTCTGACGCTAATCAAGTATATTTTCGATGCAAATCACCATTTGTGTCTAATTTGCATCGAAAAAATACCGACATTAAAACCGACGTCGCTAATTATCCTAGCGACCACATTTTCATTGAGCAAGTTCGTCGTTGTAAATTTTTGTCCACAAATCAATTGACGCGAACTTACTGTCATAATTGTGTTTACACTAGTCGGTGCAAATTTGTGAATGCAAATCCCATTTTACTTCGAGATAGCGATGACAAGTATCGTTCAGTTGATTGTAAAGTTTGTGTTGGATTTTCTGACGTTGATCTGATACAAACCTCTAAGAAACAAAAAAGAAACAAAAAACAAAACAAAAAAAAAACGATTAAATTTTTACGTACACGCGCTTAACAAACACAAGCATCATAATAGCATACTTATATATCATTGTAACTAAATAAAGAAATCACTAATATGTTTAAACGAAGATACCAATTTTACTTAAAGAAAAACGGATGTAAATGTTCAAAGTTAACAACTGCATGAACTGAAAGTTCACCTAAACATAAACAAAATAAAAAAATCAGCCCCTATGGAAGGGGGAATATCATTAAACATATATGTTGCTTCTCATCATCTTCCTTCTCCACATTCTAGTCGACAACACTTATATGTTGCTTGCCCCGGTGATCAAAACTCCCTATCATGCATGCTAGGTCATTTGCAACCTTCTGTTGGCCTTCATGCATTTTTCGAAGTTCTTCATTTATTGTGTTGACTAGCATGACAAGCTCACGTGCTGAGCCTATAATGAGTTAGGGCCACCCACAACAACATGCGAGCGCTCGACCTCAAATGCAATGTCTTTTGCACATAGGTTCCTCGCCGCTTGCATCCACTGCTCAAAATCAAACCAAGCGGTGGTAGTCTGACTACCACTATTGTTGTGCTGGCGAACAATGAGGTCTAGCTCGCCATCTCCCCCTGCCTCTCTCGGAGCTGCTCGTTTTCCTCCTGCATAGTTAAAATAAAAAATAATTGTCATTTTAAATTTTAATAGCCACAAAAAATAAAAAATCATTTTTTTTACTTACATTGACAAGCTGAGAGTGGTCGGAGACCCACTACTGTGTGTTCGGCTATCGATGCGTTAATACATGCAACTTTGCAGTAAATAGCTTAAGATCAAGCTGCCTGTGTACATGAGATAAATGTAAGTATCACATAATTATATAAATCTTGAAGTTTTTTTTTTAATTTGGAGATAATCTTACTAGTCTTTGATAGTGCTCTGTGTAGATGATTAAATATCAAATGTGGAATGCGACCTCTCTGGCTCCCCTTGTTGTTTGATTCTAATAGTTCGTCTGTCTTTTCCTCTGAGATTCCGGAGGGGCCCAGGCTTTGTTCAAGTCAGCCCGGACATCCACACCCACCCATGCGGGCCTCTCCCCCCTTCTTTCGTATTGTGGTGAATATGTCCGCGAGCCGATGCCTGTCACGAACCTCGAAAATATGTTGGATCTATTGATGATACTCCAACAACTAGTAGAAGGACCTCTGCAAATTTGAAATTACATAAGTTTTCAGTAATATAAAAAGTAGAAATTAGCATTTTATTTCAAATTAAATGATTATACTTCGAACTCTCGGAACCAAATGTCTCGAGTCGTAAATGGGAACTGGGTTCAGGAGAGATATGCTTGATTATACCGGCACCGGATGATCTCTATGAAGCGTGTCACGGGCGGCCTGGAAAGAAGAACCTAAAATTGAAATATTTGTTTCAACAAAAATCGAGAAGTAAATTGAACTTACTCTACTGTTAAAATAAATATGACAAACGAGTCTCCTTCCGACATAATATACACTCTTTCTTTCGAAGGAGTCAACCATCTGAGATGCGGGAGTTGAAGCGCCCGACTCATTAGAAGAGGAATCCAGACGGAAAATTGGTGTGGGTATGAGAGGTGGTGCTTGCGAGGGAACTAGTGCCTACAAGGGAACGAGTGCGGGAGGGCGCGGGAGGACGCGGGAGGACTGATTGGAGTGACAGTCTTATTCGGTCTCCTGTATGTGTTATCTAAAGTCCCCTTAACATGGGGGTTGAGCATCAGCCATCTACCATCTGCAATAGAAAAAATAAATTATTATAATTATTAAGCAGGATTAGTATGTAATATAATACACAAATGTAAAAGCACAATAGTGTAGAATGCTAACATGAAACATGTCATGATTATGTGTAAAATTGATAAAGCAAGCAGGATAACTATAGTGTGAGTAGCAAAAGTAAAAGAAAGAACGTGCAGAAAATAGTAGGCTGAAACTGTTCCTTCATTGAGTTTTCCTCGTTCCCTATGGGGTCGACAATCAGACTCAAACCCAGTACTATTGATACTCCACGCATACTTATGTGAGCAGCCCGTGTTTCGCAACAATTAATTTGTGTCATATAACCACCTACTACCACCAATAGTGTTTGGGCTCTTACCCGAGTGGTGATTTGCTCACTTTAACATTTTTTATTTTAAATATTAATCTTATTTTTATGTTATTTTCTTTTAAATGCTCTCATTGGTTTGCTATTTTTATTTGGTTTTCTGGTCTATATGTATTGGTAGGTTGTTTTTTTTTTAAGAGATTATTTTGAGCTAGTTTTTTTTAAAATAATTTTTAAATATCTTTGGTTTAAATTTATATGTTTATTTACCAAGTTTTTTTTTTTTTTTGTTTATTTCAATATTGTCTTTTTTATTGTGTTAGTTTGGTATTTTTGTTTTGGGACAATCACACCCAGACCACCTCAAACTGGCTACTTACAAATCAACCAGTCTCTTTCATCCATTTTCCAAATTCTCACTCAAATATCAAAGTTCATGGTAAAAGTTCATGGTAAAACCCCAACCCCCCAACCCATATTTTTCATTTTTATCAAATTCTCTAATTTGATCGTGGCATGTTTAAACACATCGGTTGGGTAGTTAAAAAAACTCACTTTGTTGATTAATTTGTAAATATCAATATTTTGAATGCATGTAAGTATGCTTTTTTTCTTTTTAGTAGCTTTTAGCACTTTCATGTCTTCGTACTTATATTAAATTTTTACTTCAATGATTAAGGTAAGCTCTTATTTGAATAATTTAGAGTAGATGTACTCTGTTGATCTTTTTGGTTTAAAATGTTAAAAGGGCGTTTGTTCAAGGTTTTTTTATGTAGTTTAAAGCATATTTGGCATTAGGGCTATCAAAAAAGCCTGTTGTTCTTGAGCAGTTTGCGTTCGGTTCGTCAATGAGTTTGTATTCGATTTGTTCGATAAGTAACGATAAGTAAACGAGACGAACGCGAGACGAACGTGAATAAATTTTTTTTCGTTCGGTTAGTTAAACGAATCAAACACGAACAGTAAAGCGT